CGCTTATTAGTCTGTTATTCATTTCCATAACAGTATTTCTTTACTGCTGTCTTTTCTGACATCAGCTCCTTCCTATTTTCCTCTTGTCTTGCCTCAATTTTTAAAATTATCTCCATTAATGTCTTGATGTCTGGGTTTGTTGCATGAAACCAGTCATTCTGGGGGCTCTTCATTGTTTGTGCTCCAGAATCTGTTTTCTCAGTGTCTGATTTCCCAGGGGTCTGTGTGAGACCTATATTCTTCTTTTGGTTTTTCTTCATTTGTGCAGTTTTTCCCCCTCCCTACTTTTTCTTTTCCTCCACGTCACCGTCTTCTTTAATTCTGTTATTCAGGGGTAAAAGGATTGATTTTACTTCTGTTTGTTCAATCTCCTATTCTTTATGTATGCCCTCTTACTTTGTTCAATTCTGGAGTTGCACTGAAGGTGATCCTTTGTGCAGTTTTGAGATTTACTTAAGCGGGGAGCTGTGATTCAAAGTCCATCTGCAGGTCCTGGTTTTCGCTGACAGGTGTGTGGATAATGTGGAGCCCACTTCCCACTGCCCTGTAATCTGTCCATGCAGTGGGGCTGTAGTTTACTCCCTGAAATAAAATGTGGTTAGCAGAGGGGAGAGAATGGAGCAGATAGTGGGTGGAAGAGGGGAGTGGAGAGATAGAGGAGTAAGGGGGGGGGAACAAACGAGTGTGCCAACAAATAGAAAGAGAGGCCTATACTGAAACAGATAAAAACAATAGACCACAGCTACAGACGAACCGACTCTCATACAAAAAATAAAAATAAAACATGGGGATGCTAACATACAAGCTAACCAACCAACTTATTAGTGTGCTGTTCCTCTATACAAAGATATGGTTTACAGAGAGAAGAAAAGAGAAGAAAAGGAAAAGGAAAAAAGAAAAAAGGGAACAATACAGTAGGAATAGAATTAAGTCATTAAACTAATAGAATCAATGAAGCACACTCTGAGACATTTCGTTGAAGTCCAATGCCCTTTCAGGCCTGATTTCTAGTTTTCTTTTCAAGCTGGTAAGTTAGTTTGCAGTTAGGGTCAGTTGCCCCTGGTCTGCTGTGAAGGACAGTTCAGATCACCCTCTGTTCACCACTCTGGCCTATGTCTTTATCAAGCTTGTTTCGCCCGTTTCGGTGCTGTTACCTTGGATCGCCAACAGGTGGTGCTATCTCAGCTGCTCGCCCCAGAGGGGGCTGGACAGGAACAAGATGGCTGCCTGCCTCAGGGCAGACAACAGGAGACACAGAGCGGGCGGCCAGGATTTCTTGGTCACAGGAGAGGTGGCAGCGATCCCAGCAGATCTTACCTGAAGTGGTTTGAAGTGGGTTGCCTCCGGCCCGGGTGGTACGATGTGCTACTGCTGTCACGCTGGCCACAGCAGCCACGGCGGCAACGGTGGCGGCGGCGATGGCGGCGGCGGCGGTGGCGGTGGGGGTGGGGAGGTGGGGGCGTCGGCTGAGGCGGCCGTGGCAACGGCGGCGGTGGCACCGTCTGCGCCGCAGTGACTGTCCAGTCCGTTGTGATGCCGCAGTGGTGGCAACGGCCGAGGTCCGTATGAAAAGCAGACTGCGTTGCTGGGGTCCGTAGCCCCCTGGGGGTGAGAGTCAGAGACCCACTGCAGATCTCCCTTGCAGAGGGCTTCACAGACCGCTTTGCCCCATCGCCATCTTGCCGCTTCTCTCTATAGTGAACTTTTAATGTACACACTTTATAGATTTCTAGAAGCCTAGTGTTAGCCATTTTCTCTAAGTTTGTCTTCAAAAGAGGTAGCTTTCATCTTGTTTTTAGCCATATATATATTAAAAACATTGTTCCTACTATTTTTATGTTCTTTGATTTTTACATTCTTGGAGGGGAGAAGAAGGACTTTTACATGATCTACCTGTCCTCCCTTGGTCAGAAATACTAAGATCATTTATCTCTTACAATACATACCTTTCTTTATGAGTTTCTTTTCATTGATTTTCCTAGAGTGAATTAGAGTCTTGTAAAGCTCCAAAGTACTTTTAAAATCAGAAAACACAACATTTTCTTTTATTGCATTAGTATTTTATGCTTCTTTTCCATTTGTCTCATAGTTGCTTGAATAATGCCACAAACTGCATCTTGGCCCAAGATGCTAACTTTGACATCTGTGGTTGAAAAGATGATCATAAGAAAAGCTAAATAATACACAGCTCAAATGGCATTTTATATAATACTGGTCTTATGTTTTAGGTATTGGCATTTGGGGACAGTCACAAAATGATGGGACAAAAGACACAGGAAGTCTTGTTGAGCTGCAACAGGTATTGTCTTCCCTCAGTGAAACAGGGAAAACCATCAGTGGCATGGTACTCTGGAGGCAGCAGTTCTTTGCAATGGCAAGAGTTCGCTTCCTAAAGTTAAGGCGTGAAAGAAAAGGTCTGTTGACTATGTGAGTATCTGAGTATTTCAGGTTGGTTTGTTCTGTGAACTCAAAATAAATTTCAGAGTGAAACATCTTTTTTTAAACCCTCAAATTACAGCAAATGTATATGGTCTTTTAAACAAAGAAATGTTTTTAAATAAACCATTTTAAATCATGTAAACATAGAATTAAAGCAGATGAATATCGGGATTGTTCTTTTAATTTCACACAGCTTTTGTTCTTACTAGTGGGTTGAAATAGCTCTTCACAAGCATGTGGATATAAGCACTTATGTCCCATCCCAAAGACCCCTTATCCTCTTTCTCTGAGATACCAAGATGTGTATATGTCAGGATTTCCCAGAGAAATGCAAACAATAGCATATTAAAATGTATAAGGATATTTATTTCAAGGAATTGGTTTAATGCAACTGTGGCGTCTGGTAAGTCTGAAATTAACAGGGCAGAACAGCAGGCTGAAAATTCTGGTTAACGTTCATGTTGCTTTTGGCAGATTGGACACTTTGGTAGAATTTCCATGCCATGGTCATGAGGCCCCTGTGCCAGGCTCTGTCCTGGCTTCATGCTTGTATCTGGAGTCCACTGTAAGGCTCCCAAATACCTCCAGAGCTGCAGCATTGTCACGGGGGACTTCCTTCTTGCATGAGTGTGTCTCTCCATGGAGAACACTCATTCGTCTAAAAATCTCTGTGGGCACCTCTATGCAACATTCCATTATTAGATTACTGTGACACATATCTAAATACATCAGACACGCAGTCTGTCCTTGAAGCTGATTAGACACATACTAAATACACAACCTTGTGAACCTTGTCATTCAGCCGGAGATATTATGCCAACATACGAGCATCCGAGAAAATACTAAGGAAGAATTTGAATTTGGTGTGGAAGAATTGAGCTTGTTTCCCTAAGAAGAGGGAGATGGAGGGAAATTCAAGCAGAGGGGGTGACACTGAGTATGGGGCTACATGAGGAATCTAAAGAGCTGCTATTAATCTGAGTTAATTGCAACACATGAAAAAAATAAAAATAGTTTTAAGAATATAGTCCACAGAACGTTGTGTCTCACATCTGCAAAATAAAATAAGAAGAAGAATATATTACATAGAGCTAAAGAGCGTGTGTTTTATAAATAATAAGGAACAATTAAGGCTTTGTTTTGTATTTTGAACAGGTGATTGCCGTCATTGGAACAGAATACCAAGAAACTTAAAGTGGCAATAGCGCCAAGTTGTTTGTCAATAGAGACATTGGACACAGTGAAAACAATCAGTTTTACTTTCTATTTTCCTCCCCATAGGTTATTACTTTTCAGCATTAGCTTTATCCCTCACCTCTTGGAACATCTGTTCTATGAGTTCTATTCAAAAAGTTGGGACTTGGCTCCAAACAAGTACTTCCTCTCACCAGGACAGCAGCCACAAGATCCTCTGACCCGTTTGCTGGTCATCAATAAAACGGGTAAACATGAGGTTAAGATGCAACTTCTCAATGTCATTCTTGTTGAGAGATTCCCCTCAAAACAAAACACAAACAAAAAATGAATTTTGTAGTTTTTTAGAAAGCACATGTGAAGCCAAACAGAAAATTAATTTTAAAATGAAAAATGCAAGATTGGAGAGCTTGTTTTAGAAACACATCCGGACAGTTTACTAAAACCTTAATGCTTACGGAGCAAAGCAACCAGCAAGGATTTAGGAGGGTGAAGCGTTGACTAACTTTGAAGTCTTTCTGTATTATTTGTATGACTGTGCATTGCTGAGCTCTGGAAAAAAAAGGCTTCAAATTTATAAGAAGGTAGAAGATGAATAGCTTCAAGGATTATAATGTTAACAGCAACTAGCATTTTTATACTAATAGAAATTATAATTAAATGCCTAGGCTCTAGGTAAACAATCTTGTCATATGTATGATGTCAGAATGGATTTCAGTATCATAGCATTAATTGCGCCTTTTTAAGGGAATTATCAAACGATCCATTGTATGATATACTTTAAGTGATGCAACCAATTTCTAAAATATCACTTGACCATTGTTATATTTCATGTTTGCCTCCTTTGATCTTTACCTAGGGTCAAGTATTGATGACTTTATATATTCACTGAGGCGACAGAACATATCCTTGGAAGTGGATGCCTTTGGAACTAGAAATGGCGCAGACGAGGGATCCTACAATGGTGCTATCGCTGTGTCGGGGAATGAAAAGGTGGGTGGGACTCTAAGGGCTGCCTTCCACTGACAATGGACCGTGGGCGTACGATTCGAATAACTTGCAGCCGCTGATATAAAAGGCCAAGTTGACATAAGCAAATGAGAGAGTTCTTATTATGGAAGAAGGTGCCCTGCGAGGGCATTTGCGTGTGGCCGCCAGTGTAACGATGCGAAATAAAACGCTACTTGACTCCTCCCGTATTGCGAGGTCTAACCAATAATTTATTCAAGCACTCTTACCGTCACATTCCATTCCAATAATCAATTTAGACCTTGCTCTTGGTTGAAACTGAGGACCACGGCTCAGTTTCGACTTGGCCTTCAATGTTCTGCTTGCTGCATCTCTCTGCTGCTCCATTCATTCCTCTTGCCCACCTTCCCCCGGAGGCCTTTGAGTCAGAGAGCCCGATGGTAGACGTTGCGGGAAGTTGTAGCTGATAAGTGTTGTAAGGCTTGGCCATTTGTAGCTTGCCACAGTAAGTTTTCAGGAACTCTTTTCATGCCAACGATTAAGTAAGAAATTACCTTCAATTGAACTAGTCCTCAATATATTTTAATCAAGTTATTTTCTTGTCTTCTCAGAAGAATAGTTTTTAAAACAGCACCCTTTTTAAATCAATACTCATTACTTTAAGTAACTATTTAGATACAATACACTTCGTTAATTTATGATGGCCAAAAATGCATTCTCAAGGCTTGCCCACAATTTGGACAATATAAATAATTCACATTTTTTTTCCTTTGAGGAAAAATAATGACATATTTTTATATATAATGACATATATGTCATTATTAGTATGCGACATGTTATATATTTATATATAATTATATATGCTTTTATATATAATGACATGTCATTATTATATGTGACATATTTTATTAAATTTATACAAATTTAATGATATTATATATAATATATTATGTACAAATTAAATGGTATTATATATGACAAATTATGTATGTGACATCATTTGTCATTTTAAATTAGATTTTATGTGTATGCTCAGTGTTTGTGAAAACTTATGCTGTCATTACAACTGCCTGCCCCTCTGGCTTCCCAAGTATCCATACTTTCTTTACTTATAAAGTGACTGTATCACATTTTGAAACAAAGTCTATAGCCATAATAAAGAGAGGTTTCTACCATGCAGTTTTATAGTGTTGCTACAAAATATCATTTGAGATATTTTATTTTGTGAAGCTTATGCATAAATGTCCATATGGTCCATATTATGACATGTAGAAGTCAAAATACTGGATTCCTTTCATTATACTGGGAATTAATCAAATAATATGAATAATGATAATATTAATCATATTCAGTCATTTGGCCTTATTATATTATCAATAATTTGAATGATTTTCTACTATATTCGTTCATTAAATTCAATATTTGTTGTATAAGAACTTAGAATTAATTTTTTTATATTTTTAGGATCTCAGATTTTCAATAGCATGCAATACGAAAAGGGTGAATTGCTTTCCTGTCCTCATAGAGGTCATTAGCAATGGGCTACTTGGAATTTTTAACTCTTCAGAATACATTCACATTGACCATAGAACATTTTATGAAGTAAGTATAATTATATCTCACTATACCGAACCCTCAGAAGTTTTTTTTTCTTTTTTGAAAAAATTGTAATTCAATAGCTTAAGGAGTACAAGTGGTTTTGAGTTACTTGGATGTATTATGCAGTGGTGAAGAAGTGTACGGCTTTAAGTGTACCCATCACCTCCACTAGCGCACGTTGTACCCAAGAGGTGATTTTTCATCCTTTGTCCCTTCCCAACCTCCCCTGCACTGTATCTAATGTGCATTACACTATTCTGCATGTCTTTGCAGACCCATGGCTTAGCTTCCACTTATAAGTAAGAACATGTGGTGGCCAGTTTCTGTTTCTGCATTACTTCATTTAGGATACTGGTCTCCAATTCCATCCAAGTTGCTGCAGAACATATTCTTCTGTTCTGAAATATAGTATTACAGTATACTATGTAGTGTTATAGCATACTATGAATAGTATTATAGCATACTACATACTATAATACTATGAATAGTATTATAGTCTACTCCTATATACTGTAATACTATAAATTATGAATAGCATTATGGTATGCTACTATAGATCATAATACTGTATATAGCATTATTACTATATGCAATACCATAGTACATAATATGATAGTAAGAGTATTATAGTAATACTATGCATAGTATTATAGTATACTATATATGATAGTATACTATATATTGTAATGCTGTTATATAGTATATTTTGCAATATATAGTATAGTATATTATATAATAGCTGAATGGTATTCCATGGTCTATTTCTACCATGTTTTTTTTACCTACTGATTATTGGATGGATATTTAGGCTGATTCCACATCTTTGCAATTGTGAATTGTGCTGTGATCAACATGGGAGTGTAAGTATCTTTTTTGTGTAACGACTTATTTTTCTTTGGGTAGGTACCAAGTAGTGGGATTGCTAGATCAAATAGTAGATTTACTTTTAGTTATTTAAGAAATGTCCATACTGATTTCCATAAAGGTTGTACTAATTTACACTCCTACCAACAATGTATAAGCATTCCCTTTTAACTACATCCATGCCAACATCTATTGTTCTGTGATTTTTACAGTAATAGTCATTCTTACTGGTGTAAGGTGTTATCTTGTTGTGGTTTCAATTGCATTTCCCTAATGAGAAGTGAGGTTGATTATTTTTTCATATGTTTGTTGGCCATTTGTAAATCTTCTTTTGAGAAATATTGGGTCGTGTCATTTGCCCACTTTTTAATGGAGTTGTTTGCTTTTTCTTGATGATTTGTTTGTTATTTGTATACTCTGGATATTAGTCCTTTGTTGATGCACTGTTTACAAAATTATCTCCTATTCCGTAGGTTTCTTATTTACTCTGCTAATTATTTCTTTTGCTGTGCAGAAGTTTTGCAGCTTAATTAAGTCCCACTTATTTATTTTTGTTTTTGTTGCATTTGTTTTTGGGGGTCTTTGTGATAAAATCTTTGCCTAGGCCAGTGTCCAGGAGTTTTTTCTAGGTCTTCCTCTAGGATTTCTATGGTTTCAGGTCAGACATTTAAGTCTTTAATTCATCTTAAGTTAATATTTGTATGTGATAAGATGCAGGGATCCAGTTTTATTCTTCCGCATTGGCTATCAAACTTTTCCAGCAGCATTTATTGACTAGGTTGTCCTTTCCCCAGAGTAGGTCTTTGTCTGCTTTGTTGAAGACAAGTTAGTTTTAGGTATTTATATTAATTTCTGAATACTCTATTCTGTTCAATTTGTTCACGTGTCTGCCTTTGTACCAATATCATGCTGAATTCGTTATTAGAGCCATATAGTATAATTTGAAGTTGGGTAATATGATGTCTTCATTTTTTTTCTTTTTGTTGAGCATTACTTTGGCTATTCACGCTCCTTTTGTGTTCCATGGGAATTTTAGGATTGTTTTTTCTAATTCTGTGAAAAATGACTATGGTAGTTTGATAGACACTGTGTTGACCCTGTATATCACTTTGGGTAGAATGGTCATTTTAACATTGTGGATTCTTCCAATCCATGAACGTAGAATGCTTTTCCATTTGCTTGTGTTCCCTACAATTTCTTTCATCAGTGTTTTGCAGTTCTTCTTGTAAAGATCTTTCATCTCTTTGGTTAAATATGTCCCTTGGTATTTCATTTTCTGAGGAGTTGTTATGAATGAGATTGAGTTCTTGATTTGATGCTCAGCTGCTTTTAATTGGCCAACTTAAACCCTCCCTCATCAGAATTTTTCAAGAAAGTTCTTGAAATGCTGAAATAACAACCTATTACTTTTTATGAACCCATTCTTAAGTAAGTTTATATTTAATATATAAAAATCACTGTACATACATGCACATACACACACCTCTATTTGGCAATGATTACATAACATTATTACTTTATTCAGATGACATAACATTAAAACCTTATTTATTGGCTTTAGGGTAGATGGAGCAACAGAAAATACAATTAACAGGGGCAAAATAATGACTTTTGGTCTAAACCTGTTACCATCTCTGCCCCTGGGTGGTGGGACATAGTTGAAATAACCAAGGCTTAAAGGCCAGACTATGCGACCTTCTTAAACAACTTGACTTCCGTAGGCCTTAATTTGCTAGTTCACCACAAAATTGCAGATAAAAACTTCATTACAAAAGTTTCTTAAGAAGAAAATGAAGCAATGTGAGCCAATTTTAAAGCCTCCTGATCACTTTTTGTTATTAAGAACTATTTTAGTGTAGCCCCAAACTTCAATTTCCTACCCAATTAAAACACTGCAGGGTCAAACTTGCAGTCCAAGGAGCGTGGATGGAGGTGGGTGTGCTGATGATGCACTTTAATTTTCATTCCTCTTCGCAGTTTAACACCTGGGAAGAGAAGGGAGACATGTCCTGGCTCTGACACACTCCCCTGTCTTCCCCTTCTGGTGGTGCTAGAGGCAGGATGGAAGAATGCAGGGACAGACTGTCCTGTAGAAATGGTGCTGGAGCAACATTATGCTCTCTCTAGTTACAGTTTCTGCTGGTAACTTCTAGTTATGACCTATGTGATTGTCTTGGGGAGTGTTTAGCTTGACCCTGGGCCTTGCTGTAGATGAGGACACACTCAAGGCTTCAGAGCAGAGTTTCCTTAGGCTGCTGCAGAGAAGTCCACACCATCAAGCTTTCTGCAGTGGACATTGTTCATTTCTGATGTGGCCATCATCCAAGTAGTTCAACTTCCTCCCTGCTTTAACCTCTATGCTCTTCAGAAAGAACTAAGAGAACTACTGAGTGCTTCTTACATGCTACCTGAAAGCTACAGAGATTTGAGGTGTGAGGGGAGTTGCCCCATCTTCTCCAAAACATATTATACCATTGTCCATTCAAACCACATTTCAGCGATCTCCATGTCTTGAAAAACTCTAGTGAAAAAAACAGCCATTTACCGTGTGATTTATATGTATTGGGATATTTAAATGTCCTGATAAGACTTTGAGATAGTTCTTATTATCACTATTATAGGCTGAGTATCCCTTATCTGAAATGCTTGGGACCAGAAGTGTTTTAGATTTCAGATGTTTTTGGATTTTGGAACATTTGCATATATTTCTCATTGCATATACATAACAAGAAATCTTGGAGATTGCACTCAAATCTAAGCACATAACTTATTTATGTTTCATACACACCTTATACACATAGCCTGAAGGTAATTTTATATAATATTTTGCATAAAATATTTTAAACCAACCGTGTGTTCTGTACCTGTGTTATGACTGTGACCTATAAAATGAGGCCAAGTAGAATTTCCCCTTGCAGCATTTTTGGATTTTGGAGAGTTCAGATTTAAGATGTTCAGATTAGGGATATTCAACCTGTATTAATATTAGACAACTGAGGAAACCAGCACACAGAGGTGCCAATACATTTGATTATCTAGTATATGTGAGTAAACCATTAATTATCTAGATGACCAAGAATGGCGTGTCTTTCAAAGTGAGCAAGTGACCCAGTTTCCCTCTTTTTAAAAACAATTTTAATTGTAAAGTGTTTGCTACACCACCCCTGCTGACTTTGAGTTCACATGGAGGTACATTCTCTCTCTTTGAGTTGCCATGTCTGGTTTCCCTACCTAGCTCCCGGTATAATTCTGCAAACGCGTTCTACTTGATCCTAAAGCACAAGTCTCACTGTGAGTCAACCCTTGCTTCTGACCCAACTCCGTGATTATTTTCACCATCTCTCAGTGTCCTACAGTGCTCACAACCAGCCCCTCCTGTAAGTGCTCAGCTGGCCAAACTACCCAGTTGGTATCAAGTGTCCTTCTGAGGATCCTCTTCAGGCTGAGCCACACCAAACTCGGACTGTGGGTGGACACAATATAAAACGGACATAACACGTTGATTATGAACCAAGTCGGGGGTTAGGGGGGCTTGCTGTTGGAATGAATTGTAAATTCATTCCATGCCCACTCAAAAGAAAATGGAAGAGACAAAACATACCAAGTTTTGATGATGATGTATAATGGTTGAAATTCTCATACACCAAAGTTTGGAGTGTCAGTTGGTACAATTCCTTTGGGAAATAGTTTCTGGTATCTGCTACAGCTGAAAATTTGCCACATCTATGATCCAGCAATTCTGTTTCCAGATGTAGCTAACAGAAACGTGGACATGTTTACAAAACATGTACATGGAAGTTCAGGGTAGCATATCTGAATGGTTCCTAAATTGGACAGAGTCTAAATGCCCAGAAGTAGTAGAAAGGATAAATAAATGATGGTTTGTGCCCACGATGGGGACAAGATCAAGGCATGTAGCAAAACTCAAAGTCCTGTTTAACATACAAAGGGTTTTGATTTTTTTTACTTAACTGCCTCCATGTGGACTCTGTGCTGCCCATTTTCCTCTAAGCCCCGTTGCTCTTTTTTAAAAAATATCAACCTACTTGTTAATTGATTTCTGCCAGGTCTCTGAAAGCATTTGCAGTTGCTGCTTTTGCATAAAACTGAAGCAGGCGAATGCCTCTGCATAAATTATGAACTGGACTGATTTTGCACCAATTAATGAAAGTAGCTAAGTAGCTCCTCCGGTGGCAGCCCACGGTCTCTGTCAAACGTCAGCCTTGACGAGGGCTGTCTGTAATATTGTAACCATAAAGCCAAAGAGCAGAAGGTCCATGTCCAGCTTGCAGGTTATTAGCTGTGAGACGTAGCTAACTCATATCACTTGGTGGAGTTTGCTTTTCATAAGTACATCAGGATACATGTTTCAAATGGCTGCCGCATGAGACTGAACGGGATTGTTGGTAAGAAGCTGCACATAGAACCCTGAGTTGCGCGTTGAGTGCTTAGCCCAATTCAGGGACTTGAGAGGTGAAGATGGTACAGGTGAGCCAGATGCCCCATGGCCGTCAGCTCACCATGTTCTGCCTCATTTCAGGAGGACTTGGATTATGAGTTTGGGCTCCTGAGTGCCGCCTCCTTCTGGATACCGATGGCAGCCTATTCCGTTCCTTACATTGCAATGAGCAGCATCAGTGACTACCAAGTAAGAAGCGTTACTATAAGCCGTCCGTGTTTCGAATGCTCAGGGAGCGCTTCCCCCACCCTTATGCCACAAATTGACGAGCCGGTGGTAGATCTCATGTTTGTGTGTGCTGCAATGATGATCAAACACCTTGATAATAAATTGCCAAATATGAAGAAAATTCTACTTTTCTTAACGAAATGTGAAGCTTCAGGAGAGACAGCAATGACAACGCAACTGTATATCACTCAGAATTTTACGTGTAGACACTTGCCCACTGACATAGTCACATTCCCTCTCAGTGATGACTTTCATTTCCAGAGGGTAGTAGAGTCACTCAGTCCTGACCAACGCACTGGAGCACTTGGACTTGTCGGGAAAAAAAACCATCCCTTTAAAACTTCATTTTGTGATGCTTTCTTATAAAATTCAATAAGCCGGTAACAGAGTTTTGGCCTCTCCAGGGTACTTCTGGTGCCACCTTCCCACGTCTCTGTGACCTTGACACCCTCAGCTGATACTCAGGGCTTGAACTGCTTTCATTTATTCTGTTTTTGAACTGTTTCTATCTTTAGCAACTTCTCCCATGAGAAACACAAAATACATAAAATACTAGTCTTCCTTTACTTTTAGAGGCCGCAGGTTCACCTTTTCTTCTGCTCTTGTCACTCTTTCTTACACTTTGTGGTGTGTGTGTGTGTGTGTGTGTGTGTGTGTAACACCATCAGTTCTTATTTGGACTTATCCATTGCATGGCTATTGAAAGTGACTTAATCACTCTGTGCCTGATCTTTACCACCTGTAAAACAGGCATAATAGTCTCATGTCTTTGTAATATGTTTCTGTAAGGAAGTGGTGAAATAATATCTATGAATCACTTAGAACCATACTTAGCTTATAGTAACTTTCCCATAAATGTTAGTGCTTGATGTCAAAATGTCTCTTCAGTAAGTTTCAGAATTCTCCTCTTCCATATACACAAGAGCCGACTTGCTATCCCCACCTAGCTGAGTAACAGACATTTCACACAGAGGTAAAATAACACTTGTTATTTTCCTAACCAGAGCTGCTCCTCTCTCACCTTTCCTGTCTTAGAAAATGTCACGGTCACCCACAGTTGCTCTCGCATGAAATATCGGCGTTATCGCCGTCTCTTTCTTTTACCTCCCTCATCCAATCCGTTGGCAATTCCTTTCAATCATACTCGAAACGTATCTCATCCATCAATATCTCTCCCTTTTCACTGTTTTCGTCCTGGTTGAAGTCATCATCATTCCTTGCCTAGATCATGGCTATGATGACCCATTGGCATTCTTATTTGAAATTAAATCTTGTACACATTCCGAGTGAGCTATCAGAAGTTTAAGTCACATCATCCTCTTACCTTGTTTAAAAACCTCCAATAGCTTTTCTTGGCAGCGCAAAGTAGACCCAATTCTCAGCATTGTATGGTAGAACATACTTACACCAGAAAAACTCGTCTCTTGCTGTCCCTCCACCTTTCTGCCTCGCACGCTCCCGCACCACCTACCCCGGTCTTCCTTCTGGTTCTCAGATATGCCATATCATCTGGGCCTTTACGTTGGCTGTTTCTTTCAGCTGTTCTGCTCTTCTTTCTGTTCTTTGTACAGCTGGCTTCTTCTCCTGGTTCACGTCTCAGCACAAATATAACTTCAGCCAAGATCCCTTCCCTGATTACCTAGTCTAAAATAAATTCCCCATCACTGCTGCAGGAGCTCATTTTAAAAAGTTATGTCTCATACTTATCACAATCTGAATCTTTTCTCGTTTGTTTGTTAACAGCCTCCTCCCACCAAGAATGAACATTATTGCAGCAGAAATATTTTTCTCTAAATTCTATCTACTCTGTTACTTCTCTCTGTAAATGGTGGATCACCTGTCATTCTTTTACTTTTGATCGAAACCTCGGAGCTATTTCTGCTAGGTTTCCAGATTAAGCAAGTAAAATTACCAATGCCCAGTTAAATTTTCATATCAGATAAACAATGAATGATTTTTTCTAGTGTAAGTATGTTCCCAATATTGCATGGGACACATACTCAAGATGTTCTTTATCTAAAATTCAAAATTACCTGGCAACCCCATGGCACTGACACCTCTCTTTCTATCTCATCTCCATAGCAGGTTAATGGTGATGTCATGGAATTTACTTCTGAAACACGTCTGGAATCGTTCTGTATTCTTGATCTCTCCTGTAATACCCTCATCAGAGCCACCTACCTCTCCCTCCTGGATGCACACAACAACCTCTCTGTGGATCCACCTTACTCTTTTCCCTCTCCATTGTTTTACACAGCGTGACAAAACACAAAGCTGACCATGTTCAGTCTTTAAGTCCTTTCTGGGATTTCTCGTCATACTAGAAAGTAAGAATGAAATCTTTACCATAGCCTACAAAGCCATGAGTGTATGGTTCCACCTTGCTCTGATGCCATTATCACCTTGGTGTTTGTGTTCTGGCCACGCTGGATTCTTTCCAGTTTCCCCAAAACATCAATCTCTCCCCACAAAAGAACCTTCTCTCCTGCTGTTCTCTCTGGTCTATGGTGCTTCCAGTGGGTCACCAGGATAATTTCAATTTATTGCCCAGATCCTACCTAATATTTCACTTCATAAGGAAATACTCTCTGACCTGACCTCCTAATTACAATTCATTTCCTTTGAAAGGTTCTCATAGACCTTGAACCCTTCTTGACACTTGCACAATTTTGCCTAGTTATTGCTATATTTATTTGCTTATTGTCTTTATTCCTGTCTTCCCCCATAACTTAAACTCCATAAGTGCCCCATGACAAACACAAAGCCAGTCACATGGTATATAGTCTGTAAATATCTATTAAGTAAATTAATGAATACAAAGCATCTAACTCTCTAATAAGTCCTCATTATCATCCTCCTTCGTGCCTTCTTTCAGATGCACTCCCGTTTCTAGAATATTTGTCAGCAATCCAATTTTTAAGATGTATTTCTTTATATAGATTCAATTTTAGATTTAAATTCTAGACGCTTTTATGCTTTACTGTTAAAGTAGTCCATATCCTATGGTTTAGGCCTTGTGTTATGACAATCACCGTAACAGTGTGGCTCACAATAAGTCACCATACCAAAATTCGTTCACTAGTTTTCACTGTGTGATAATGAAAAATATGACTTCCATCAAGACAATAAGAAAAGTGCAACATTTTGCACAAGTCTTGCTTATACCAAACTGATTTTTTAAGTGAAATCGACTAGTTAGATGACCATTTCTTAGATCCAAAATAAAATGCCAATTATAAATGCACTGTTTACACACAGCATAACTTTTAAGAATCTTACAGGAAATGATTACCCTATTTCTGTCGAACCTTTGTGCAATTTTCAAGTCTTCATTTCAAAGGAAAGAATAACCTTGGAAAGAATAGAACAGATGTTTTCTCATGCAAGCAATGTCCATTAATTCTGTGATGGAACATTGGCTAGTTACGTTGGTGCATTTTCCCTTTCAATGATGAAGTCATAGCATAGTTTGCCGCATTATTAATGTCCCTGAACAGGACTATGGTAAGTCATCTGCTAAATTAGAATAATGTTTATAAAAGGCATGTAGAAACAAATGAATACTTTTGTAACTATGTATTTGCAATTCCTTAAACCTGTTAATGATTCTTCTCTTTCTTTATCAGACAAAAGCTCACTCTCAGCTGCGAATTTCAGGCCTCTACCCTTCCGCATACTGGTTTGGACAGGCACTGGTAGACATTCCCCTGTACTTCATGATCCTCCTTCTGACGCAAGTCACGGAACACATGTTTAATATATACACACTTCAAAATATGTTAACTAAAGTAAGTGGCAACCATTAGGAAATGGTTTTATTAGACTCTTTTTTCATGAATGCAGCAACATTATGACTCTTTAAAAAGAATTTCAGCCGGGCTCGGTGGCTCAGCCTGTAATCCCGCGCCTTTGGGAGGCTGAGGTGAGTGGATGGCCTGAGCCCGCGGGTTCGAGACCCGCCTGGGCAGCGAGACCTCATCTCTACAATAAATCAAAAAATCAGCCGGGCATGGTGGCACATGCCTGTAATTCCGGCTACTCGGAAGGCTGAGGCGGAAGGATCGCCGGAGCCCAGCAGGCCGAGGCTGCGGTGGCCGGGAGCGGCCACTGCACTCCAGTCTGGGCGACAGAGTGAGACTCCAACTCAAAAAAAAAAAAAAAAAAAAGAATTTCAAATTACCTGTGCTATCACATGGTTTTGGATAAATTAAGGGGTAAGTAGGAATACTTTTCTAGATAGTATTTGGCTTATCCAACTTTCATATTTCTATTTTCAGATCCTCTGTGATACTGGATATGTCTTGTCTCTTGTTTTCTTGACATATGTTATTTCATTCATTTCTCACAATGGGAAAGAAAGCAGTAGCATTTGTTCATTTTTCTTCTTAATTGTAAGTATTCATACAGTGAATATTCTTTTAAGTCATTTTTAAATAAACCCAGGAACATATTTTAATCTTTGCACTTAGCAGGATGGCCAATTAATATTGTTCTTTAGAAAATTTCAATTATTCTAAAATAATCATAAGTATATCTAATGTTTATGTGTGGTTAGATGCCATCCCTAAACTATGACCCCCACAACAGGTGTCAGGTTTAACCTCTCCCCTGAGCTAGAGACTTCCTCCTCTAACAATTCACTTACAATTTTACCTGAATATTTCGAAAGGACTTCGGTTATTGCACATCTGAAATATCATTGTCTCCCCAATCCTGTTTCTTCCTATCTTGTGATAGATTACATCACTGCCTAGCTAGTTGCTCAGACCGACAATCTGAAATCATCTTTGACTCTCCTTCTCTGTCTCTTCCAGCATCCAATTCATATGCATGTACTTTAGACTCGAAGCATTTCTCAGACTGCTTGGTGTGTCCCACTTTCACTGCTGCTACATCCTTTGCCTAAGCTTTCAATTTTTCCCATGTGGAGCCTTGAGACAGATCTATAACTGGTCTCTCTCTTTCTCTTCCTACCTCCTGTAAATTACCATCTATATAATAACTAAAGGGATCTTTCAGAAATAAATTTTAGTCGAAAAGTATAGCCCATGTATAGAAAACACACATATTTTAGGCACAATAAAAAATTTAGAGTGAGCACTTCTAAAAAACTACCACACATATCAAGAAATAGAGCATTATTTCTTGGACCCTGGAAACTACCCCCCTCCCTATTCTCAGTTTTACCTCCTCCTTACAAGAAATCATTATCCTTAGTTTAGCCAGCTTCTGAAATTAAAATGGAATCATACATTAGTTTAGCCAATTTCTGAAATTAAAATGGAGTCATGTAGAGTGCATAATTCTGTATCTTCTTGTAATCAACACTATGTTTTTTAGAGCCTCCATGCTGTTGTATTTGATAAGTAACAGAATTTTTCTTTCTTTTTATTGCTAAAGTATTCTATTGATGACTATGCTATAATTTATTAATCTATTATTGATGCACATTCAAGTGGCTTCCTGTTTTGAACTGTTATGAATAATGTTGTCATTAACTTTCTTGTATATATTTTGGTGCACATATACGAATATGTGTATTTTGAGGTGCAAACCTAGCAGTGGCATTATTACCTCACAAAGTATTCAATTTCATGTTCAACTTTACTAGATCTTTGAAAACAGTTTTTCAAAGTGATTGTACCACAAGCAGAGTATGAGAATTCTAGCAGATGATGTGGAGGTGTTTCTCATCTTTGTCAACATTTGGAGGAAGAAACTAAAATAAATACAATGAATACAAATTATAAAATAAGAAGAAGAGACAATAATTTTCAGATTGGATTAAAAAGTGAAATTTAGCTATCTATTGTTCATAATAAACACATCTAAGTCATGACAATGACTTAACAGACATTTTGCAATAAGAAAATTACAAGTGGCCACACAAGTAAATAGTAAAGTCAAATTCAAGACCTAAAGTTTTAAATAAGGAAAAGGAATATATTGATAAGATGTAAAACCAATGAAGAAGATGAAAGGCTCGTATTCTGTTTAGCAAATAGTGCACAATAGCAAAATACATAACAATTATTTTTAAAGACACAAATGTAACTTTAAATCACCTGTTTCAGAACTAAAAAATGGGGGGGGGAATGAGCCACCTGTAGAGATTTAAATTAAACATCATACAAGTTAGATTTGGTTAGATCTATAGAAAGAAAACATTTTCTGCAGGGTAGAATTAAATAAGGAAGGCTGAAGTAGCAATGTAATGGCCATGGAAAGAAGTCACTGACACGGAGTGACATCCAACTCCATCTCCACTTTCTAGCAACAGCTTTGATGAGGAAAGTTAGTTGATAAGGTAATGATAACTATCTCTAAAAAGGAGGATTTGAGTGACTGAGTTGATATCTTAGGCGAAGGCAAATAAAAACCGTGGGAGAAGAACACCTTACCTGGAGAGGAGACTTTCTATTTTACAGGACCCTGAACTGAATTTGAGGTGTGGCCCAAGGTCTAACCATGTACCCACCCATTGGCAATGAAATCACTGCTCACTAGGTAAAATGAAAACTTATGTGACTCATAGAAGAAAGCAACAGGGCTGCACACAACCCACATTGAGCACCTTGAATTTAGTCATACCTCCAGGTTTCAAAGACATTGATGAAAGCAATGCCTCACATCAAAATGTCACTCTGAGGAAAAGATAAGCAGATGTCAGCTAAGAAAAAAAGAGGTGTTCAATAAAAACATAAATACTTTATCAGAGCAAATACAAGCTCTTGGTGGAACTGCATATGCTAAACATGTCCGAGATGAAAGAAAGTGCATGGCAACTCTTTAAACATATAAGACAACGTAAAATAGTCAAAAGAATGAGAAGCAGCAATAATAAATTAAATATATTGATACGCTATTCAAAAAAGGTGCAGAACAAATAGAACTTCCATTAGAGCTTTCTCTGTAGATTTGAAAAAAGAGCCTCAACTTAATAAGACAAAAACTCAGTGTCACAATGATAAAACATCCAGAATGAGGAAAACAAGGGAGATTTCAGAGCTACTTGTATCAGGATAATTTCAGAACTCGTAGCAAATTTTGGAAAAGGGCTGAAAATCTAATTACAGACATAAAATAAAGGATTACTGTAATCCCCATGACTCAGCAAGACAGTAATAAAAAAACAAAAAATAGATGAAAAGATGTGAATAGATACTAATTCAACAAAATAATTAATGGTTTTTATGTAGTGAATCCATTGGAAACATGCATGTATGGTTTTTAAAAATATATTATTCTATTATAATTTTGTGTGTGAAATTATAATAGAAGAAATGTCCTCTAAACCAAGAATTAATTGCTATGGAATTGTCAATACTCATTAATATATGAAAATTTAAAATAAAGACACCCAAGAAGTAAATGGAAGTCAACCATAAAAGAGAAAATTTCAAGCTGCCCCATATTTATCTCCTGCAATTCTCCATGTCAGTTACCATATATCTGAGAGAAAGAAAATGAAGTCCCTCTCCTCCAAAATTATAGCTATCCAAGTTGTAGTTCTATGAAAGATTAGACTCAAATATGAACTCAATAAACAAGGTCCAAACTTTACCTGTACAATGTCCACTTGTATACCTAGTCCTGAATTGTATCACACATCTTTAAAATAAAATATAAATTAAAATAAATAAATTAAAGCCCTTCTTTTAAAAAAATTCACTCAGTTCACACAAAAACACACACATGGATGTTTGTAGCAGCTTTATTGATAATTGCCAAAACTTGGACTCAACCATGATGGTGACAGATGCATCCAGACAATGGATTATTTTTTAGCACTAAAAAGCAATGACCTATTTTTTTAAAATCAAGATTTCACTGTCATCCATGGTGGTAGGCAATGACATCATCATGGCTCCTCACAGCCTCAGACCTCTGGGCGCTGTTGATCCTCCCACCTCGGTCTCCTGAGTAGCTGGGGCTGCAGGCACACGCCTCCACACCAAGCTAACATTTTTGATTTTCTTGTGGAGACGAGGCCTCGCTCTGTTGCCTAGGTTGGTCTCAAACTCCTGAGCTCAAGCAATCCTCCAGCCCCGTCCTCCCAAAGTGCTGGGATTTCAAATGTGAGCCACTAGTCCTGGCTTAGAAATGCACTACTAAAGCCGTGAAAAAAACATGGGGAAAACTTAAACGCATATTACTGAGTAAATAAACCAGTCTAAAAAGTCTACACACTGTATGATTTCAACTATATGACATTTTGAAAAAGACAAAACTACAGAGACAGTAAGAAGATCAGTGGTCATCATGGGTCGAAGTGCAGAAAGGAATGAATAAGTAGAACACAGAAGAGTTTTAGGGCAGTAAGACTCCTCTGAATGATACTATAAGGGCAGATACATTCATTATAAATGTGTCCAAATCTGTAGAATGTACAAGAGTAAGTGCTAATGTAAACTGTGGACCCTGGGTGATAAATAAATGTCAATAAAGTTCATCAATTGTAACAAATGTGCCACTCTGTGGGGGGGGGGCTGTTGATAATGCATGTATTGGGGAAGGGGATACATGGGAAGCTTTTTTCTCCACTCAATTTTGCTTTGAAACTAAAACTGCTTAAAAAAAAAACTCTATCTAGCAAAAAGAAAAAAAAAAGTCACTCAGGGACACAAAATACAGCCATATGAAAGATGAAGCATTTAAGGTTAAAATTAATGCAACTAAGAAATAAAGAATTCCAGAAAAGAAAAATTGCCATAAAAACATGAGTAGGGACCACTGAATTCAGTTACACATTTATGGATCATGGTTATAGCATACCTAAATACCTAAATTGAAAAACTATAGAGTTGAATAGTTCCTTTTATAAAGCAAGCATAACTCTAATAATATATCCTAAGAAAACTTAAAATAGAAAACCATTGGTAAATTCAATTGGAAAAGTTAAAGACAACTCTCTAAGTAAAAAGACTGCAGAGCAAACTCAAAAGAAAATTTCAAAAACAATAATAAAAGTAGTCAAGCATGATTTATTTCAGAATGTAATGATGGTTCAGTATAAGCAGCTATCAAAATAAAGAAGGAAAATTGCACGAGTCAAGAAAACACCACACAGATACATTAAAATTGCCTAGTAAAAAGAAAATATGAACACAAGGTCAGATTACCCTCAGACCAACGGTAAATATCATACTAAGTGGTAAAGTTATGAGATTATTTATCTACTATCAGCAATGCCTACAGTAATCAAATACAGCATCTTGTTTCAGTGAGGTTTGGCATAATGAGCACTAATCAAGATTTGTAGGAAGATAGATGCCACAATCTTTTTTAAAAGAATCTGTTAGTAACAATGAAAATTTTTAACCGCAATTTCACTTCTCTGAATCTTCCCTTCAAGACTAAAAGTGCTAATACATATATATTTATTCAAAAAATAGAAAAGATTTTACAAAGACCATCATTTATTGAAGCAGAAAAGTTGAAAGCACCCTTTCTGAAGGAAAATGTGTTGAATTTCTGCATATCCATTTCAACTAATAGCTGTCATAAAAACATATAATTGGATGCCTAAAATTAAAAGGATACCTATGATCTATTGTGCACTGAAGGAAGAAAAAATGCAGCGTAATATCTGACAAATAATCCCTTTATCAGAATCTAAATTTTAGCAAGATTCCCATCTGATATGTAAGGTTGTTGACTGTTTTGCCTTTTAAAAATCCATAAATCAATCCAATTCAAAATTGTGACACAATTCCATATTGCACAGAAGGAGAAGTGATGGCAATACTGGTTTGGGGAGTGAACTTGAAAATAACAACATCTGCAAGATGAATTCTCACCATTTTGGAAAATATCCTAAAATTCAAATTGTTACTTTATTGACACTATGCTGTGTTTTACCTTAGACCATCATCTTGTCCATAGTGGTTACTGATCAAAATGGCCACCGACTTCTGGGACTACTTTTCTGCACCATATTAATACCACCCTTCACATTGATTGGCTCTCTTTCAATTATAAATCAGGTAAGTAGTTCCACTCCTGTCCTAGGATCATGAGATGTATGGTCGTTTTAAAAACCTTGAACATTGCAAAAATGTAGGTTGAGTCTTCAGTTGTACAAAATGTAGCCTTTTTCTTTGGAAATCCAATTATTTTGCCACAGAAAAAGGACACGTTTTTATTCAGTAGGAATAAGATTCAGGAAAGTCAAAGTCAACTCCAGGTAGTGAAATTTTATAGTTCTCATGACAACCCTCACTTCTGGGCACCCTAATAAGTGGCTGCTTTTTGTTAAGTTTTGGGCATGTTATGTTTGAGAAATGTCAGGTAGCCAGCTAGACACATGAAGGAGACCCCCAAAAAGCAGCATTGTCTTTTGGAGGGTGGCTAGTGTGCTTGGAATTTGTTCCTCCTGATCAGTTAACCAATGTTTTTGTCTGGAAGTTTTGAAAATGTTGCATCCCAATTTCTTTTTATTTTAAAAATGTGAGATACCATTTAGGGTTAGGTACATACATGATCATCGTACAGGTAAAGTGTGGGTACCCTTAGTGATGTTTTGTGCCCCGTCTTCCCTGGCAGTGTCCCACTACTGACAATTCCTTTTTCATAATATTATGTTAAATATTCAGGGTCTGCTTCTCAGTGTGTACATGTGGTACTCAGATCTTTGTCTCTGTGATAAGTAACTGAGTATTATAGACTCTAATTCCATCCAGCCTGATTCAAAATTCTTCATTTTGTTTTTCTTTATGACTGCATAATATTCCATTGTGCAAATGTACTGCATTTTCTTTATCTAGTCCACCTTTGATGGGCTACGTGGGTGGTTGCATGTTTGTGCTATTGTGAATAATGCTGCAATAAACATGCATGTGCAGGTATCTTTTTTACAGAGCGATTTGAGTTCCTCTGGGTATATTCCCAGAAGGGGGATTGCTGGGTCATTTGGAAGGTTAATTTTTAGATCTCTTAGAAATCGCCACACTGTTTTCCACAGAGATTGTACTAGTTTACATTCCCACCAACAGTGTTCCCTTTTCCCCACATCCTCTCCAGCATCTGTTTTTTTCTGAGTTATAGATGATGGCCATCCTGACGGGAGTTAGGTGGTATCTCAGTGTGGTTTTAATTTGCATTTCTTTGATGATTAGTAAGGCTGAGAAGTTTTTCATGTATCTGTTGGCTGCTTGTATGTGTATGAGTTCTTCTGAGAAGTGTCTATTCGTATCTTTTGTCCATTTTTTAACAGGGTTGTTTGGTTGTTTGTTTGTTTGTCTTTCCTTTTGGCACATTTGAGTTCCTTGTAGATCCTGGATGTCAGGCCTTTGTCAGATTTAGATTTGGCAAACATTTTTTCCCATTCTGTGGGCTGTCTCTCCACTCTCTTGATGGCTTCTTTGGCTTTGCAGAAGCTTTTCAGTTTGATGAGGTCCCACTTGTCTATCTTATCTTTTATAGCATTCGGTTTTGGAGAGTTGATCAGGAATTTGATGCCTATTTCGATTTCCATAAGTGTGTTTCCTTTGTTTTCTTCTGGGATTAATATAGTTTAAGGTTCTACATGTAGGCCTTTGATCCATTTAGAGTTGATTTTTGTGTATGGTGGTGGATAGGGGTCCTGTTTCAATCTTCTGCATGTGATCAGCCAGTTTTCCCAGCACCATTTACTGAATAGGTTCTCTCTACCCAGTGGTTGGTGGTGGAGGGTTTGTCAAAGATAAGTTGGTTGAGAAATTGAGGTTTTCCTTCCAGAGTCTTTATACTGTTCCATTGGTCCATATTCCTGTTCTTGTACCAATACTAGACTGTTTTGATTATAGTATAATCTACTATAGCTTTATAGGAGAGTTTGAAGTCTGGAAGTGTGATACCTCTCACTTTGTTTCTTTTGTTAAGGATTGTTTTAGCTATTCATAGCCTTTTATGCTTCCATATGAATTTCTGTATAGTCATTTCTAGATCTGAGAAGAATGATGTTGGTACTTAAATGGGTTTGGTGTTGAATCTGTAGATTGCCTTTGGTAGGATGGGCATGTTAACAATATTAATTGTTCCAATTCATAAGCATGGAATATTTTTCCATTTGTTTGTGTCTTCTTTTATTTCTTTGAGCAGTGTTTTGTAGTTTTTATTGTAAAAGTCTTTCACATCTTTGGTTAGGAAGATGCCAAGGTATTTCTTTTCTTTTCTTATTTGTGGCTATTGTGAATGGGATTGTGCTTTTTATTTGGGTTTCTGTCTGTTTATTGTTAGTGTATAGGAGTGCGACTGCCTTTTGCACATTTATTTTATTCTTTGAGATTTTGTCAAAGTCCTTTATCAGTGCAAGGAGGTTCTTGACAGTTTCTCTTGGGTTTTCAAGGTATAGGATCATGTCATCTGCAGAGGGATAACTTAACTTCCTCTTTTCCTATTTGGATACCCTTGATTTTCTTCTCTTGTCTAATTGCTCTAGCTAGGATTTTCAGCAGTATGGTGAACAGCAGTGGGAGTGAGCAGCCTAGTTCTGGTTTTCAGGAGAAATGCTTCCAATTTCTGTCTGTTTAGCAGTATGTTGGCTGTGGGTTTATCATAGATGGCTCTTACTTTTTGAGTATGTTCCCTCTATGCTTTGTTGTTCAAGGATTTTTATCAAGAAGGGATGCTGGATTTTATCAAAAGCTTTTTCTGCCTCTAATGATATAATCATATGATTCTTGGTTTAGCATCTGTTGATGTATTTAATTACATTTATGGACTTTCAAATGTTGAACCAGCCCTGCATCCTGGGGATGACACCAATTTGCTCATGGTGGATGATTTTTAGATGTGTTGTTGGATCCAGTTTGCTAGAATCTTGGTGAGAATTTTTTTGCATCTATATTCATCAAGAATATTGGCCTGTAGTTTTCTTTTTTTGTTGGATCTTTACCTGGTTTGGGTAGCAATGTGATGTTAGCTTCATAAAGTGATTTGGGGAGAGTGCTGTCTTTCTTTATTGCCTGGAATACTTCCAATAGGACTGGTATGTTTTAAAGAATTCTGCTCGAAAGCCTTTTGGTCCAGGGCGATTGTGTGTGTGTGTGTGTGTGTGTGTGTGTGTGTGTGTGTGTGTGTGATTAGTTTTCTTATGATGAAGTCAATTTCCTGGGTTGGTATTGGTCTATTTAGGGTCTCAATCTCTTCTTGTTTCAACTTGGGAGGTTGTGTGATGTCAGAAAGTCCTCTATTTCATTTAGGTTTTCAAGTTTGTTTCCATTCAAGTGTACATAGTAATTTCTGATAATCATTTGTACTTCTTTGTGGTCAGTTGTGACTTGATCTTCAGCATTTCTGATTGTGTTTATTTGAGCTTTTTCTCTTTTTTTTTTCTTGTTCAATCTGGCTAGGGATCCATCAATCTTGTTTATCCTTTCAAAGAACCAGCTTTTTGTTTTGTTGATTATTTTCTATTATATTTTTGTCTTCTATGTCCTATATTTGGGCTTTTATTTTGGTGATCTGAATTCTTCTGCTGAAGTTGGGGTTTTGGTGATCTTGTTTTTCCAGGACCCATAGGTGACTTATTAGGCTGTTAACTTGTGATCTTACCATTTTCTTCATATGTGTTCTTAGTTATATGAATTCCCTTCTTAGTATTGTATTCATGGCATCCCAGAGGTTTTGGTAAAATATTTCTTCATTTTTATTGTTTCCAGGAATCTTTTAATTTCTTCATTGATTTTTGTGTTGATCCAGGAGTTGTTCAGCATCATGCTGTTTAGTGTTCATGTCTTTGTGGGTTTCAGGGGAACCTTGTTGTGATGACATTTATTTTTATTCCACTGTGGTCTGATAAGGTGCATGGCAATATTTCAATCTTATGAAATTTTTTTATACTTGATTTATGACCAAGGATGTGGTCATCTTGGATATGTTCCATGTGGTAATGAGTACAATGTATAATCTGTGATTGTTGGGTGGAGTGTTCTGCAAGTATCTATTAAGTTCGTTTAGTCAAGCATCAAGTTGAGGTTCTGGATCTCATTGAGTTTTTGCCTCAAGTATCTATCTGGAACTGATAGTGAGGCCTTAAGGTTCCCAGCTTTGATAGTGTTAGAGTCAATATCTTTTTTAGTTTACCTAGTAGCTGCTTTATAAAAGCTTGTACTTCTGTGTTGGGTACATATATGTTTAGGATGAATATTTCTTGTTGATAAATTGAATCTTTTATCATTATGTAGTGTCCTTCTGTATCTTTTTTAATTTTTGATAGCTTGAAGGTTATTTTGTCTGATATTAAGATTGTGACTCCTGTTTTTGTTTGTGTTTCATTCACCTGCAAATTTGTTTTCCATCTTCCTACTTTGAGTCTGTGACCCTCCATTCTGATGAGATGTGTCTCCTGAATACAGTATACTGTTGCATTATTTTATTTTTAATCCAGTTTCCCATTCTATGCCTTTTCAGTGGTACATTTAGTCCATTCACCTTCAGGCTGATTATTGAGATGTAAGAGTTTATCCCTGTCATGAGCCTCTTATAGAGTTTGTTGTTGTTTGTTTGCTTATTTGTTTTTTGGTTTTCTTTTGATTTGGGGGTTAGTATATATGTGTTTTCAAACTTGCAGTCATGATGCATGCTTTATTGGTTCTTTGTTTTCTTACATTCTTGGGAGTAGCATGATTGTTCTTTTTTTCTTTCTTTCTTCTGTGCTTAATACCTTCTTAAGCATCTCTTGTAGAGCTGGTCTGGAGGCAGCATACCCTCTTAAGGTTTGAATGTCTGGGAAGGATTTTAATTCTCCATCACTGAAGAAGCTTAGCTTAGCTAGGGAGAAAATTCTTGGTTCAAATTATTTATCTTTTGTTTTGAAGATGAGACTCCAGTCTTTTCTAGCCTTTAGTGTTTCTGTAGATAACTCTGCTGCTATTCTAATTGGTCTTCCCCAGTAGGTAGTCTGACTTTCTCTCTCACTGCCTTTAGGATTTTTTTCTTTTATACCTACTTTGTGCAAACAAATTATTACGTATCTAGGACTTGGTCTTCTCTATTGATGCCTTGCAGGGCTTCCCTGTATCTCTTGTGTTAGGATTGTTATGTCTCTGATGAGATGCAAGAAGTTTTCTTGGATGACTTCCTGGAATGTTTGCTCCAGTCTGCTCTCATTCTCCTTGTCTACTTCAGGCATACCTATACGTGTTAAATCCAATCTCTTAATATAGCTACACATCTCCTAAAGGCTTTGTTCCATCTTTTTAGGGTTCCTTTCTATGCCTTTAACAGTTCAGATTAGTTCCAGATTTTGGTCTTCAATTTCTAGATTCTTTCTTCTGCCTGGCTAATTCTGCTTTCCGTGTCTGTCAACTTATTATTTATTTCATTTACTGTTTTCTTTACAGCTTGCATCTCAGTCATTAGTTATTTCTTGTTTTCATCTTGCTTTTTTTTGGTTCATATTCATCTTTTCCAACCATTTCTTGATCTCTGCATTTGTGGTCCGAGATCAGTCAATCTGGGTGTTCTTCCTTGTTTGAATTCTCAAGACTGTATACTCGTGGACTATCCTCTTTGGATTTTGTGTGGTGCCTGTGTTTCTTCTTTGATTTTTCCTCATTTGTGGTGGGTTTTTCTTTTCTCTTTACATCCATTGCTCAGTGAGAAAAGGAGTAGTTTTCACTTCTTTTTGCTTAACCCCCATTCTTTCCTTGGTGAAACCTCCGCACTAGCTCATTTTGGGGACTGGTTTTGAGATGGAGAGCAATGTTGCTCCCTTGCAGATTTGAGATTTTAATGAGGTGTGTTAGGGGGTGGTAAGAGTCAAAAGCTGTCTGCAGATCACAATGTTTGCTGATTGGTTTGTGGGCCCCCAGGGGTGCATTCCCCACCACCTTACAGTATGTCCATACAATGGGATCGTATGTATCTCTGCCGGTTACAAAATAACATGAGGAGCCGGCTCCGTGGCTCAGCTTGTAATTCCACACTTTGGGAGGCTGAGGTGAGTGAATTGCCTGAGCCTGCGGATTCGAGACCCGCCAGGGCAACTTGGCAAGACCTCATCTCTACAATAAATCAAAAAATCAGCCGGGCATGGTAGTGCACACCTGTAGTTCCAGCTACTTGGAAGTCTGAGGCAGAAGGATCACCAGAGCCCAGCAGGTTGAGACTGCGGTGGCCAGGAGTGGTCACTGTACTCCATTCTGGGTGACAGAGTGAGACTCCAACTCAAAAAAAAAACCAAAAATATCAAGAGGGAAGGGATAGGAGTTAAGAAAGAGAGAATGTGGAAAGGATGAAGAGAGAAGGAAAAAGTTGAAGAGAATGAAGGAGAGAAGGAAAAAATACAAACCAATAAACACACAGACAAGCAAAACGAGAAAAAAAAGAAAGAGGGAGAAAATGACAAACCAAAACTGAAACAAAAAGAAAGAAAGAAAAAACAAACAACAAACAAAAACCCCAAAGAAACTAAAATCAATAATACAAGGAGATTTCCACACTCATATACACTCTTATTGGAAAGCAAGAAGACAGAGAAGGAAGGGGTAAAACAGAACAAAATGCCCACTTCCAACAAGCTATATTGAAAAGAAAACAGCAGCAACAACAACAACAACAACAGGTAGAATCACACACAGACACCAAAAATGTTGTAATCCTTAAGCACCCTCTTGTGGCAATTTCTAAGACTTTGGGTTTCTTGTAGGCTGACCCAAGCCCTGCTTCTCTTAGCTCGTGGCAGAGGGGAAGGGTTTCAGAAGGAAGGGTTTTCTGACTTCCAAATCTGGCCCCCGTTCAACCCAGGTGGCTGCTGGTAGGCTGCAAAGTGCCCCCAGCTAATCGGCCGAAGTTTAGCCCTCTCCGTGTGTGCTGACCAGAGCATTGCTCTTCTGAATCACACGTCTAGCAAATCACTGGGAAAAGGGTGCTGGGTCGCTTTAAAACTCACCGCCACCCATCTGCCTCGAGCTGGGGCTGGGCTCTCAGGTTGCAGCTGCAGACCACAGATGCTTCAAGTCTGTCCCCCGTTCCCCCCATGTGGTTGGGGGAGGCTATGACTGGCCCCTAGCCGAGCCGCTTGTGTCCGGCTTTGTCCTTGCACGTTGATCAGAACGTGGCCCGCCAGAATCACACGTCTCGCAGATCGCGGGGAAAGGGTCCTGGCTCGCTTTCAAACTCACTGCCACGCAGCCCCTGTGATCTGGGGCTGAGTTCTGCCACTGCAGCCGCCGATGGCAAGTCCTTCCATTGGGAGATGGGGCTTCTGGGTCTCCCTGGTTGGGACTCTGGACGGGTCTCCCTGGTACGTGTTCTCGCAGTTCCCATGGCCAGTGTCCGACCTGGGACTGAAGGCTGCGGTGGCCGCAGCCCCAGCGGTGGGCGGTCCTCGTCCCTTTATTACCGCCCCCCCACCTGTGCTAGTGCGGCAGAGATGGTGCCTGCCTCTGGACCGTGGAGCCTGCTGGGGTCTGAGCAGCCGTGCAGCGCAGCCGCCTAGGCAGGAGAGCTCAGGCCTCTCCTTTCCACGTCTCCACTCAGTCGGACGTCCACACACCCGTGTGCCGGCACGTGCACACTCCTCTCTGCACCCGCTCCCTCGGGCGGAGACGCAGGCCCTCCGGCCGCCGCCACCCTCATCTTGGAAGGGGAGCTGCATCCCGGTTTGAGGAAGAAACGGCCCGGGTTGTGGCCAACGGTGACCGGCTCCTCCACCCTGACCACGCCCCTGCCCGCGCGGCACGCAGCGCTCGGCAGTTGTTGACCCCAGGACGGCTTGAACCCCGTGCCCCGCCCTCCCGATTCCCCGGATCTTGCCCTGCGCGACTTGCTTCGGCTTTGTTTCTTGGGATGGAAAAAGTCTTCAGCGAGAAACGTGAAAGAGGGGACACCAAAAAACGGCCGAAGCATTAAAAGGCGTGAAAACTGACGAGTTCCAAAACTGTTTTGAGCAGGGGGAAAATCATCAAGGTAGGTGTGTTGCATTAAACAGAGAGTACTTCGAAGGTGACTGACGTTCAAGCGCATAAGAATAAATACACAATTTTTATAAATTCCGTGTTTTGGGGGGGTCCCCCTCATACGGAAGTCTGGAATTCAAAGTGTCAGGGTGTGTGGAGATTGGAATTAAAGCAAAAAACTTGATTTTGTAGAGAGTATTAAAAGTCACGTGACTGGATAATGTGATTGACACAGTGAGTGTAGATAGAAATGAAAAGAGGGCCAAAGACTTGAACTTGAATTCCAAAATTTAGAGCTTGTGATGAGGAGGAGCCACTAAGTCAGTTTTAGATGGAGCCAGGCAGATAGGAGAACAAAAATGTCAGACTTGTATGCACCAGAATCTCTTCCCAGAAACTCTTTTTGAACATCTAAGCATCAGTGTGCATAAGGGTGTGTGTCAGATGGCAATAATGAGCGTTTCCAGAAGGAGGGAGTGACTAAACCATCAGATACTACTGAGAGGTCTAGAAAGATGACAATTAAAAAGAGACCCTTGGTTTCAACTACATGCAAGTCATTGATCTTAACGAAGTCGATTTTAATGAACATGTCAACACAAAATCTAAGCGTGAGCCTAGTGGAGGATGTAAGGTGAGGACATGGTCACAATAGGTAAAGGCAAGTATCTCTAGAAGTTTTGCCAAAAAGAGTAGCAGAAATTTGGGAGTAGATGAATGGGAAAGGTAGATTTTTGCTTGTTTGTGCTAATTAGGGAGATTATCATAGTGTGAAAGAAACTGATGATGGGTAAAAGCGAGAAGGGCTAACTACGGAGTCAAGTCCTTGAATCACTGTGCACAAGTTATTCAAGGTCTTGACCTGCAGTCAAGCCCAGGTTAACAGTTCACTGAGACACACTGGAAGCCAAGGAGACATGCTACATAGTCGGAAACGGGCTCTGACCTGGTACCCAGGGGAGAGTCGTGGAGGATAGTGGCAAGGACTGTTTAATGGACATTAATTTATCTCAAGTGGGATGAATTTTATGAACAAATGCAGTTTCATCTGAGTACACTTTCTCTTCATTTTACAGGCTTTTTCTGACTACATGGATTACTCAGGGACTTCAGAATTTGACATTTTACATCTGGCACTGCTAATAGTAAGAAAACGTGTTTTACCAACATTCTTACCTGAGGAAACCCACCTTTGTGTGGTTGAGTTTCTTTGAATGCAGCAAATTAAAAAGATTTGGACACTGGACATATGAAACTACACACACACACACACACACACACACACACACACACACACACACAATGGCTTTTCATCTGGACCACCATCTTTGCAATAACCATCTGATGCCAAGTATGAAGGCTAAACTCTAAATGGTATCAGCAGTACTGGTTTTAGCTTACTATTAATACCACTATATTTCTGTTATGCTTTCTTTGAATAGCACTGAAGCTGGCTTTGTCAGTTTCGTAGAATATTAAAGAGATTGTCTTTCAGTTCCATGAAAATGTTATCAAACTGAATTCTGTGTATAATCAAACTCTTTAAATCAGTTTCAATTTTGAAATCATTGCTTTTATGGTGAAACTAATGTGATTGTCTTTCTTTTTCCCTAGCCTTACCTTCACTTTCTTATTTTCCTTTTCATTCTGCGCTGTCTGGAAATGAACTTCAGGAAGAAATCAACGAGAAAGGATCCTGTGTTCAGGTTGAGAAAATTCAAACTGAATTTCATTTCATCTCAATATTTGTTGTTTTAAGACATTTAATTGAGTAAAAAGTACTGCTCACTGCACAGGACTTTTTAAAGGGACCCTGTAGCATACACAATTACTATTATTTATGGCACTTTACTGAGGCACTCAAAAACTAAGACAGGCTGTAATTTCACTGCAGAGGAATGTTATATGTAAGAGGTAGACTCTAAAATAATGAGTAAATATTAACAAGTAACTGGAAAAGTGTAGCCAGTCCAGGAAGGAAGAGTGGTCTAAGCAATAGAACAAGGGTTGAGATGAACACCCTCTTCCTATAGATTTGAAAAGGCAACAGGAAAACCCCTGAAGACTTGTATTGGGGAATAACGGAAAATAAAATCGAAGCTAGATATTAAAGGATCTTGAAATACAGAAACATAGGGAAGGTTTTGCAAATTCCATAATGGGAACCCAAGACACTGGTGTGTCTTGAGCATCAGGCCTACTGTATGGACTATGAATCAAGCTCATGTCTAATGTTGGTGGCAGTGCAGGAAAGTGACAAGATGACATTCATGTATTAAAAAAAACACCTGACAGCGGTAATTTGGGATAGCACAAGGGAGAGATACAGGAATCAGTAAGAATCGGGGGTAAGATGATGAAGGAAAGAGCCAGATTGATAGCTGTGAAGTAGGAGTGATTCTGACACCTATTCCCAAGAAGTGACACTGCGCAGCAACTGATTAGTCATTGGTATGGTGCTGAGATGTCCTGGACATCCTTGATTCCAAGCCTTTAGACAAGTTGTTCTCACAAAGCCTTTACAATTTCAACCTGTCCGTGTCAGAATTGCAGTTCCTAGATTCCTTTCCTTGTGCAATCCTGCCTCAAAATCCTTTGCCCAAGGGTGTGTCACTTCATTCTTTGAAAAAAAATAAGCATTGACTAAATTAAGGTTAGGTTAAAAAGCAAAGATAATGTAGAGGTAGCCTAATTTGACTGAGTGGTGAAAATTAAGCCATGTGTTGGCACAGAGTAGAATAGAGATTATTTTGTGCTCGTAGTGGATCTACTCAAGTAATCAAAGAGTATACAGAAAATTAATTATTTTTATGACAGGTTTTTAAGCTAAAAAATTGTCATGATCACACTGTTTTGGTTTTAGAATTCCTCCAAGAAGCAATGATGTTTATCCAAACCTAGAAGAACCTGAAGGAGAGGATGAAGATGTTCAGATGGAAAGAATGAGAACAGCAGATGCTATGACTGTCCCAGACACTGAAGAGGTAAAACTAACAAAAATGTCCTTCGTTGAGTGTTTTTTTTTCTTTCAGACAAAATGAGCACTTTCTCATCTTAATTTTTGAATTGCACCTGAGCTTCTTTCACTCTTACACATATAGCGCCTTACATGACTTCAGTGGGGAGACAATGCTCACAAGCTAAGAGAGCAAAGAAAACACACACACATAGAGACATGGACTTGTTAATTTATTCACAGGTTATAGTTTTGCTAAGTTCAGCTAAACATTGTAAAACCTATACAAGACTGTCTTTCTTTGTCTCTACAACTCAAGCAATGCTTACCACAAGCAACTCAGAGGAGAGAGATCCTCTAAAGTCTAAAACCAAAACAGTGTGATCATGACAAGTTTTTAGCTTAAAAACCCGTCATGTTTGTGTGGATGTTTGCGTATGTGAGTGTGTCCTCACAAACCTATTGATTCAGGGAGTCGAGGGAGCAAGCACAAATCACATGATAAGGGACAATTCCCTTTCCCTGCAGGAATATAGACTGGGAGAGTTTGCTTGAAAATGACCGTTTTTGTGGGAAGAACGGGTTTGATTCATGATTTTGTCTAGGGAAAGATTTGGGGAGGAGAGAATGGAGCACTCAACTCAGGGTGTTGTCGTGTACTTGTCTTCACAGCAGCCAATCATCATTGCCAGCTGTCTACGGAAGGAATATTCAGGCAAAAAGAAAAATTGCTTTACCAAAAGGAAGAAAAAAGTTGCCACAAGGAATGTCTCTTTCTGCATTAAAAAAGGTTGGAAACAGTAGTTCTGTTAGAAAAGCAATCTTTCAATCTTGACCTCTAAGAACTGGGTCTTTCCAAGGGAAGAAGAGTGTCCAAATATGGGGTCATCTACTGATGAACCCATCAGCAGGCTAAGGCTGCTCTTTCCTGCTTAAAAGTCTCGTTATAGCTACAGCAACTTTCCTTTTTTTTGCATAGCAATACAGTTGTGTCTATTCTGTTTATAAAAAAACAGACAAACAGAACACCAACAAAAGAGATTGGTTTCTGGTAAGAAGGATGGCATCGATTTTTAAGCAGCAATTTCACAACAGAGAACACTGCCCAGAAAGGAACTGGCATATTCGTGCATTTTTTCATTCCTAAAAAGCAGCACATTTTGTGCAAGTGTTGGTTAGTGAAACAAGCTTTAGAATAAAAACCTGTTTCTAACTCTCCCTTAGTCTCTTACTGGCTGCATGACCTGGGCAAGTTATTTATCTCCTTTAAGTCTTCCATACCTGTAAAGTGAAGCTAGTTATAAGGCTCAAGTGTGTGTGTGTGGGCGTGGGCATGAAGAATAAGTAAAATAGCCAGTCTCGGTGGCTCAGCCTGTAATCCCAGCGCTTTGGGAGGCTGAGGCGAGTGGATTGCCTGAGCCCGTGGGTTCGCCTGGGCAACTTGGCGAGACCTCATCTCCACAATAAATCAAAAATTAACTGGGCATGGTAGCGCGCACCTGTAGTTCCAGCTACTCGGAAGGCTGAGGCGGAAGGAACGCCGGAGCCCAGCAGGTTAAGGCTGCAGTGGCCGGAACTGGCCACTGCACTCCAGTCTGGGTGACAGAGTGAGATTCCAACTCAAAAAAAAAAGAAGTAAAATACTGTATGCAGCACATTTCACACAGAGCTTGCCACCTGTGAGTCCTCAGATGGCATTTGCTTTTATTTGCGTTGTAATTATTCTGAACATACCTCTTTCTTCCAGGTGAAGTTGTAGGACTGTTAGGACACAGTGGAGCTGGTAAAAGCACAGTGATGAAGATGATCGCTGGAGACACAAAACCAACCGCAGGGCAGGTCAGTAAAACACACAGAAGCGTGATCATTAATCACGCCTAGAATACACATTTTGCAATGCATACTGATGCCAGTCTTAAACGAGGGTCAACTCGTGTGATTTACACATTGAATGAAGCGATTGCTTAAACACTTTTCTCTGAGCAAACAAATCAAGACATTAAAAGGAAATCTATGTTCCTCAAGGTCACATATCACTGTTTTGTTGCACTCATTGAATTGAACTGCCTCATCCAGCATCATGCCAGAAACCACTGTCCCAATAGCAAGTCCTGCTTGTATGGCTGCCGTCGTGACTCCTCACAGTCAATAGCTGTCCTCTACCTGTATGCCATAATGAAAGATTATATGCGACTTGTGGAATGATAAAAATCTATTCATAAATCGTTCATAAAACTTCATCAATGTTTCCAGACAGTATTTGCAACAGAAACTTTCCTATAATTACTGAGACCTTTGCCCAACTGATGCCATGGTCAGCTGAGCGTCTTATTGCAAGTTCATTGAATTTCTTAAAGCACAACAGTGATGCTGGGCTAGTGGTAAAATATCCAGGATTTATTAAGACAATCGAGTTCAGAGGCAGGAAAATTAATAATTGCCTGAATTCTGATGCAGAAACTAGGACAATATATGAATATCATTTTGGTGGTATGTCTAAGCCAAAGTTGGGTAAAATGATGGATGGAGGCCAAAGGACTACACCTTAGAAGAGGAAATGCTATTGACCTTGGACATGCGGTCAGTGTCAGAAGGTGTTCGTGTAGGAAGGCTGCACAGTGGTGTTGATTGCCACAGAGGTTTCCTGGATCATCTTTCCATTTTCATTCTTGCCTCACACAGCTGCCAGAACAGTCTTTTAAAAATGCAGATGAGGTCACAACACTCTCCTTTTTTTACAACTTCCTACTTAAAAGTGATCCAAAATCTTTTTAAAAAATTATTTTTTGTGTGTTTGTTTGGTTGGTTTTGGGGGGTTTTTTTGAGTTGGAGTCTCACTCTGTCACCCAGACTGGAGTGCAGTGGCCGCTCCCGGCCACCGCAGCCTCGACCTGCTGGGCTCCGGCGATCCTCCCACCTCAGCCTTCCAAGGAGCTGGAACTACAGGCGCGCTACCACGCCCGGCTAATTTTTTGATTTATTGTATAAATGAGGTTTCGCCAAGTTGCCCAAGCTGGTCTCGAACTCCTGGGCTCAGGCTCAGGCAATCCTCTTGCCTCTACCTCTTGTTACTATTTTTATTTCAAAGATGGGTACAGTTCAGGTTTAGGCATACAGATGTTCATTATGCAGGTACCCTTGTTGATGAGGTATGCCCTTCCCTCCCTAGCAGTTTTCCTCAACTGCCAATCCCACCACCCCTCCCCTGACAGTTTCCCACTACTGCCAATACCTTTCTTATAGTATTGTAATAATTGTTCAAGGTCCGCTTATGCGTGAAAACGTATGGTGCTCTGTTCTTTCTTTCTGTGATAGATCACGGAGTATGGTCAACTTTGAATCCATCCAAGTTGCTACGAAGTCCATATGTTTATCCTTCTTTATGGCTGCATAATATTCCATTGTGTATATGTGCCACATTTTTTTTATTCAGTTCAGCTTTGATGGGCAACATGGTTGGGTCCATGTTTTTGCTACAGTAAAAAGAACTGCAACAAACATACATGTGCAGGTATCTTTTTTGAAGAATGACTTGAGTTCCTCCAGGTATACCCAATAGGGGAATTGCTGGGTCATATGGAAGGTCAATTTCTAGTTCTTTCAGAAATTCCCACATTGTCTTCCAAAGAAGTTTGCATTCCCACCAGCAGTGTGGAAGCATTCCTTTTTCTCTGCATCCTCACCAGCATCTGTTGTTTGTTTTATTAATGACGGCCACTGTTACTGGGGTTAGGTGATATCTCAGTGTGGTTGTGATTTGCATTTCTCTGATGATTAGCGAGGCTGAGCACTTTTTCATGTGTCTTTCGGTTGCCTGTATATCTTCTTTTGAGAAGTGTCTATCCATGTCTTTTGACCACTTTTTAACCGGGATGTTTGTTTTTTTCCTTTCGGCACGTTTGAGTTCCTTGTAGATTCTAGATATTAGGCCTCTGTCAGATATACAGTTGGCAAATATTTTTTCCTACTCTGTGGGCTGTCTCCCTGCTCTCTTAATGGTTTCTTCTGCTTTGCAGAAGCTCGTTAGTTTGATGAGGTCCCACTTGTCTATCTTATTTCTTAAGGTATGGGCATTTAGGGTTCTGAATAAGAATTGTTTGCCGGTTCCAATTTCCATTAGGGTGTCTCCTGCATTTTCCAAGATTCTTTTAGTTTGAGGTTTTATATTTAGGTCTTTGATCCATTTTAGAGTTACTTTTTGTGTATGGTGATAGGTAGGGGTCCTGTTTCAATCTTCTGCATGTGATCAGTTTTCCCAGCAGCATTTACTGAATAGGTTCTCCTCCCCCCAGTGGTTGTTGTTAGAGACTTTGACAAAGATGAGTTGATTGAGAAATTGAGACTTTGCTTCCAGAACTTCCATCCTGTTCCATTGGTCTATAAGACTGTTCTTGTACCAATACCAGCATGTTTTGATTACCGTAGCCATATAGTAAAGTTTGAAGTCTAGAAGTGTGATACTTCCTGCTTTGTTTCTCTTACTAAGGATTGTTTTAGCAATAAATGGTTGTTTGTGTTTCCATATGAATTTCTGCATTGTCATTTCCAGATCTGAGAAGAATGATGTTGGTAACTTAATGGGTATTGCGTTGAATTTGTAGATTGCCTTTGGTAGGATGGACATCTTAACAATGTTGATTCTTCTACCCATGAGTATGGAATATTTTTCCATTTGTTTGTGTCTTCTTGGATTTCTTTGAGCAGTGTTTTGTAGTTCATTTTAAAGGTCTTTCATTCTCTGGTTAGGAAGATGCCGAGGTATTTCATTTTTTTGGTGGCTATTGTGAATGGGATTGTGCTTTTAATTAGTAGTTGGTGTATAGGAATGTAACTGTCTTTTACATATTTATTTTGTGCCCTGAGATCCTGCCAGAGTCCTTTATCAGTGTAAGCAGGTTTTTGACAGATTCTCTTGGATTTTCAAGATATAAGATCATATCATCCGCAAAGAGGCATCCTCTTTTCCTATTTGGATACCCCAGATTTCCTTCTCTTGTCTAATTGCCCTAGCTAGGACTACCAACACAATGTTGAACAAGAGGGGTGAGAGTGGGCAGCCTTGTCTTCTTCCAGTTTTCAGGGGAAACGTTTCCAGTTTCTGTCCATTTAGCAATTTGCTAACTGTGAGTTTATCGTAAATGACACTATTTTGAGGTATGTTTCACTATACCTAGGTGTTTGAGAGTTTTTATCAAGAAAGGATACTGGATTTTATCAAAGCTTTTTCTGCGTCTATTGATATAATCATGCGGTTCTTGTTTTTACATCGATTGATGTATTTAATTACATTTATGGTCTTGCAAGTATTGAACCAGCCCTGCATCCTAGGGATGATGCCTACTTGGGCATGGTGGATGATTTTTGAGATGTGCTGTCGAATCCAATTTGCTAGAATATTGGTGAGAACTTTTGCTTCTATGTTCATTAGGGATATTGGCCTGTAGTTCTCTTTTTTTGTTGGATCTTTACCCAGTTTGGGTATCAGTGTGATGTTAGCTTCATAAAATGATTTGGGGAGAATTCCATCCTTCTCAATTGCCTGGAATACTTTCAATAGGATTGGTATCAGCTCCTCCTTGTACTTTTTGTAGAATTCTGCTGGAAAGTCATCCTGTCCAGGGCTATTTTTAATAGGTAGTTTTTGTATGACAGAGTCAATTTCCTGGATTGCTATTGGCCCATTTAGTCTCTCAATGTCTTCTTGTTTCAACCTGGGGAGATTGTGTGATGTCAGAAAGTCCTCCATTTCTTTTAGGTTACCAAGTTTTTTTCCATATAGGTGTACATAGTAATCTCTCATAATCTTTTGCATTTCTTCGAGGTCAGTTGTGATTTGATCTTTTGTATTTCTAATTGTGCTTATTTGGGCTTTTTCTCTCTTTTTCTTGGTCATTCTGGGTAAGGGGTCCCTCAATCTTTTTAACCTTTCAAAGAACCAGCTTTTTGTTTTGTTGATGTTTTCTATGACATTTTTGTCTTTTATGTCTGGTATTTGGACTCTTATTTTGGTGATTTGGATGCTTCTGCTAAAGTTGAGGTTTTGGTGGTCTTCTCTTTACAGCTCCCTTAGGTGATTTGTTAGGCTCTCCACCTGTGATCTTTCCATTTTCTTGATGTGTGCTCATAGAGATATAAAATTCTCTCTTAGAACTGATTTCATAGCATCTCAAAGGCTTTGGCAAGATGTTTCCTCATTTTCATTTGTTTCCAGGAATCTTTTAATTTCTGCTTTGATTTCAGTGTTGACCCAGTAGATATTTAGCAACAGGCTGTTTAGCATCTATGTCTTTGTGGGCTTTGGGGAAATGTTGTTAGTGTTGATATTTATTTTTATTCCACTGTGGTGTGAGAATGTGCATGGCAAGATTTCAACCTTATTGAATTTTTTTATGCTTGGTTTATGGCCAAGGATGTGATTAATCTTGGAGTACATTCCATGTGGTGATGAGTAGTATGTATATTCTGTGTTTGTTGGGTGGAATAATCTATAGGTATCTATGAAGTTCATTTCATCAAGTGTCTAGTTTAGGTTCTGGATCTCCTTGTTGATGTTTTTGCCCCGTTGATCTATCTGGGACTGTTAGTAGGGTATTCAAGTCCCCTGCTATAATAGTTTTAGAGTCAATATCTTTTTTTACTTTTCTTAGTAGTTTATTTATAAATGCTGGTGCTCCTGTGTTGGGTGCATATGTTTAGGATGGATATTTCTTGTTGATAGATTGAACTTTTTAACATTAGGTAGTGTCCTTTTGCCTCTTTTAAAATTTTTGATAACTTAAAGTTTCTTTTGTCTGATATTAAGATCGCAATTTCTGCCTTCTTTTGTGATCCATTTGCTTGGAAACTCATTTTCCATCCTTTAACTTTGAATCTGTTTGTGTCCTTTGTAGTGAGATGAGTCTCCTGGATGCCACAACTCCTGGCTCCAGTTTGCCATTCTGTGTCTTTTCAGTGGTGCATTTAGTCCATTCACATTCAGGCTGATTATTGAAATGTGATTATTTATCCCTGTCATGGAGTTCTTATAAAGTTTTTTCTTTGCTTGTTTTCTTTTGGCTTTAGGGTTGATGTATGTGTGTGTTTTCAAGTTTCTTATTGTGCTGCACTCTCTCTTGATTCTGTGCTCCGCTGTTCTCTTAGGAAGTGTATGATCATTCTTTTTTTTTTCTTTTTTATGTGCTTAATATCTTTTTAAGTGTCTCCTGTAGAGCTGGTCTGGAAGTTGCATAATCTCTTAGGGATTGGATGTCTGGGAAGGATTTTAATTCTCCACACTGATAAAGCTGAGCTTGGCTGAATAGGAAATTCTTGTTGAAATTGTTTATCTTTGAGGACTTTGAATATGGCTCCAGTTCCTTCTTGCTCGTAATGTTTCTGCCAATAGGTCTGCTGCTATTCTGATTGGTTTTCCCCAATGGCTAGTCCAATCTTTCTCTCTTGCTGCCTGTAGGATTTTTTTCTTTCATGCCTACTTTGTGTAGGCAAATTACTATGTGTCTAGGGGTTGGTCTTCTCATTTCACATCTTGTGTGGGTTCTCTGTATCTCTTTTGCTTGACTGGTCACATCTCTGGTGAGATGGGGAAAGTTTTCTTGGAATAGCTCCTGGATTACTTGCTCCAAATTATTCTCCATTTCTCTTTCTTCTTCTGGGATACCAATGAGGCATAGGTTTGGCCTCTTGATATAATCACACATCTCTTGTAGACTGTGTTCTTTCTTTCTGAGTCTTCTTTCTATGTTTTTTACAGATCGGTGTAATTCCATGTTCTGGTCTTCAAGTTCTGACATTCTTTCTTCAGCTAGATTAATTCTGCTTTCCATGCTTTTCATCTTGCTATTCATTTTCTGGATGAATTTTTTTATTGCCAAAATTTCTGCTACAAGTTCTTTCAGTATTGCATCTTGTCTTTCTTGAGTCTTATTTACTCCTTCCATCCATTCCCTAATCCCTGTCATATTCTGAGGCCAGTTGTTGGTGACTTCCGTTGTTTGGGCACCAAGGTCTGATTTTTCAGGAGCTTTGTCTTTGATACACTTAAAATTGCCTGAGGTCTTCCTTTGGTTTTTCCTCATTTGTGACATATCTGCTGTTTTTCTCTTTAGTTCTATTATCCAATATCAGTGGGAGAGGCTTTCCCTTCTGATGTTTGCTCAGTCCTCTATTCTTCCCTTTTCCAAGCTCTGGATTTGTTCTATTTTGAAATAGAATGGTGGATGGGAAGCTTTGTTGTCTCTTGTAGTTTTTGAAATTGGACTAAGGTAGAGGATGGGGTGCTAGTATTCAGAAACTATTTGCAAATTAAAATGTTCACTTATTGTGGCATGTGTTCCTTGACCCACTCCCCACCACCACTCTATATGACCATGCAAAGCAGAAACCAATGGAAATAACAATTGAACACACACAGACAAAGACATACACACACACCCCCAAAACAAACTGGAATAACAACAGAGTGTAACAAAACAAACAACAAAAAACCCCAAGAAAACTAAACACACACACACATGCCTAGCACAAAGTGAATAGAGAAGAAAAACTGAAAGACCAGAAGAAAAGGACTTCAGATCAAACCCTCACACATATATTGACACCCACTTTATATTACAAAAAATGAAAATAAAAAACCCAGAAGCACAAAAGAGCAAAAACAAACCGATAATAACAACAAAATTGAAAGATGAAAACTCAATCATCATATACACACATAAGCAGCAAATGACAAATAAAAGAAGAAAGAAACAGAAAAATAAAACAAAAAAAATTTTTGGAGGATACAGATCAAACCCTCACATACACATTTATGCACAAAGGAGAATATTTTAAAAATAGATGAACAAACATTCAAAAAAATTTTTTAATTAAAAAAGTATTAAAAATTAAAAAAGAAAAAAATCTGCCCTCTTGTGACGGGCTCTGTAATTGTTCCTCTAATCAGGTCTCTCCTGCAGAGCCACATCTTCCAGTTTCTCCTCAGTGTCTGGAGCAGGGAAAGAGGAGGGGCCGTGGAGGTGGGTGGGGCTGCAGCCCACCCCTCCTACTCTTGTCTGGTCAGGGAGATCTCCTCCGGTGGGGAGATGCAGGGTTGTCTTGTCCCCAGGAATGTACTAGAGGGGGGTGCCCCAGCCAGGCCCATCCTGGAATGGAGTTCTCCTATTGTGACCGATGTCCAGGCTCTGCCTGGGTTTGTCCCTCCCAGTCGTGGCCCAGCTGTGTGCGTCTGATGTTCAGAGGATTACTGGGGAGACGGGGCTTGGGGTCAGCCCTAGACTCACCACTGATCTCTTTGGAGTTCTTCCTCGTCCTTTTCTGGCCACACCATTTGTCCTGAGGCTGGATCAGGGCAGGGGTTGGGGCATCTTGAACTCAGCACTCGTCAGGTCCCTCCAAAGTTTGTGCTTTCGGGATATTCCCTGTGGGTCACGATCAATGCCGGAGTTGTTGATCTGCCAGTCACAGAAATCAGGTCTGTTGCTCCGTGGTGAGTGAGTCGGAGCACTTTTTTGTCCCACCTTCAAGAGGGTGGCGGGGTGCCTCTCTTGCCCTCTTCCGTGGGACTTGGCCTCTGGACTCCCTCCACAGCCCCTGATGCCAGTGCCCTGCCAGGCGCTGAAGTGCTGAGGCAAAGCCTGGAGCCAGCAGTCTCTCCCCACTGCTTTTCACAGAAAAACTTCTGTCTGTTTTAAAAAACAAAAATGGTGTTAGGCTTCTGCAACCTCAGAAGAGCTGGGAACCAAGCAGAGAAGCTGCAACACCAGTTATCGCACAGGGCCTGGCCACTTGCTCTCGAGCCCCCCCTTAGACAGTCTTTCCCAGCATTTTCTTCCTAAGAAGGGTTTTGTTGATTTAAAAAAAAAAGAAAAAATGAAAATGAAAAGAACATGGCTGGTGGCTTCTGTGTCCCAGGAGTTACCAGAGTCCAAGCCCAGCAGCTGTGGCACCAGCCCCTGCACCAGGAGATCCCTGGCTGCTGGCTCCCTAGCCCCACTTAGTCAGCCTCTCATACGCCCACTCACTCTCCAGCACACACACAACATTCTCCATACACTCACTCACTCACACCGGGACCTGCCTAGTCCAGCTGGCTCAGCCGCCATCTTCCCCCCCTCGTCTGATCCAAAATCTTTACAGTGGCTTGAACAGGGTTGGCATGCAGGGGGTCCTCAATACGCTGCTCACCTAGGCCACAAGCCACCTTCTTCCTGTAGAATCTTTGGGTTTGAGCTTCCTGTGGCTAGAATGCCCTTCACTTTAAAATGTACCTCCCCAAAAGACCTTCTCCTGACTGCACTACCAGCTTAATTAAATTGTTCCTGCTGTTCTTTAGCAAATTTATTTCCTTGAAAGCATGAGGCAGAGGTTATAACTAGTTCACTTATGTTTTGCTTGTTTATTTCTGTTTTTCTCCCCAGCATGAAAGCTCTTTGAGGCAAGTTTAACTTGTTCTCTCCTCCTTTGTATTGGGGACAGAAAATATAGCAAGAAGGTCAAGGGCTTTGGATTCTGAAGGCAGATCCCAGCTTCAGGTCCCAGGTTATATTGTGTGACCTTGTGCAAATTTCTTAATCTATGAACTTGCTAGTTGTCTCCTGCGTAAAACATCAAGGACAAAACTACATTTAACACATATAGGGTTTTCTAAGAATAAGACAATGTAATTCAAAATGTATAACAGTTTTAGATTCTGGAACACAGCAAGCATTAAGTACACATTAGCTGTTCTTATTTTGTATAGCGCAGTTCCTGGTTCATAAAAATAACAAATGCTATCATGTACATGTTGGTTCCTAGGGACTAGACATAGTACTAAGGGCTTTTTGGTTACTACATAGCTCAGGATTCCTCAGCTTTGGTACTCTGATATTCTGGACTTAATTTTTGTTGCAGGGGGCTGTCCCATGTATTGTAGGATGTTCAGCTGTGTCCCTGGCCTCTACTCACTAGATATCAGCAGTACTGTCCCCAACAACACACATACACACACACACACACACACACACACACACACACACACACACACACACACATTGTGACAATCTAATATGTCTTCAGATACTAAATGTCCCCGGGGAGAAGGATTGCCCCAACAGAGAACCGCTGCCTTATTGTGAGAGAGATCCTATCATTATAACTACTTATCCCTGAGGAAACTGAATCCTCAACAAGCATCTGTACCTTTTGAATGCTTGGAAATATGAGTGAAGTCAAGGAACAGACAATCAAATAAGAAGCCTTGAATTCAACAATGGTATGAGAATTGGTAATAAAGTCTAAACTATAAGGGAGGGATAAAGCAATGTGGAATTACTGCCCTTTAAATTATTGAGTTTTTATCACCTTTTCCCCAGAGCTAAGTGATTACAGTAAGTTCCCTACATGTGAATGAGTTCCTTTCCGAGTGTGTGTTCATAAGTCCAATTTGTTTGTAAGCCCAACACACTTAGCCTAGGCACCTGACTAACCCAATCAGCTATATAGTACTGTACTGTTACATCTTTGAAAGTTTGCAACGTGAATGCTCATATGTAGGGGAATTACCGGACTTATTTGCTTGTGTACACCTAGCACCTACGTGTGAAGAAGAGTACGTCACTGAAACACACACTTACACGCACATACATGCACACAACATTTGGGACAGAGTCTGAGAATCAATTTATCTTGTATAGGTGATTTTGAAAGGGAGCAGTGGAGAGGACACCCTCGGGTCCCTGGGGTACTGTCCTCAGGAGAATGCATTGTGGCCCAACCTGACGGTGAGGGAACACCTGGAGATATATGCCGCCGTGAAAGGGCTGAGGAAAGGACCAGCGACGATCGCCATTACATGGTATCCGGGGGAGGGGGTATCCCATTCCACTCACTCTCTGCTGGGGATGTCCTGGTAATGATGCTCACACAAAATGGAAGAAGGGGGCTCTACCTGATGACCCCATGCTTGTGAGAGAAGACCTGGTCATCTAGGACTCAGCTCACTGTTGTTTTCTCTCACTTTAAGCCTGAGGAGAAAACATTTTTTGGATTATTCATAATATGGAAAGAAGTAACTGAAAATATCAGTTTGATGACCATGAAAGGTTCACAAAATTTCCCATGTGATTCAGTGCTGCGACCACTCTGGCTGCTCTTAAACTTTAGTGTTTACTCTGATTTGCTCGTTCACCAGTGCTCAGGGTCATGTGAGCTGATACTGTTTCCTTCAGGCTAGCGGACGCGCTCCAGCTGCAAGACCAACTGAAGGCTCCCGTGAAGACCTTGCCAGAGGGCGGGAAGAGAAAGGTACAGCCAGGCTCGGGGTCCCCCGGGGTACCCACAGCGGGGTGCCGACAGACTGTTCCTCTCATTGCAGCTGTGCTTCCTGCTGAGCGTCCTGGGGAACCCGTCGGTGGTGCTTCTGGACGAGCCCTCGACCGGGATGGACCCTGAGGGACAGCGGCAGATGTGGTGAGGAGATGCCAGGGGGTCCTTCTATGCCAAGGTGTAGAGCCTGTGAAAACTGGCTTTCGAAGTTGTGGTTGACTTGGAAAGCGGAAGACACTCACATCATCAGGAAAAGCAATACTAAGGGGAAAAAATTACCTGATTTCATTTCACCACCAGTGTTTATGGAGGAGAAAAAGTTAATTTCTCTGAACTTAACATCCACTACAAACAATTTTTCGTCTTAGAACTTCTGGGTAGCCATGGAACATTTTAATACTGGGCAAAATAAGTCTAATATTAAGCTTTAAATCTTTCTGCAGCAACACTTAAGACACAATTCTTATAAAGAAAAGAGAGACATTCCAAGTCTTCAATATATTCTGTATTTATTTTAGGAAATGTATGAATTCTATCCCTTTGTACCTATAAAGTGTATGGTATACGTCCTTGTTATCATGTGTCTTAGTAAGTTCTCCTCACTTTTTGTCTTTTTTCTCACTTCTCATAAATATTCCTGAACTCAGCATTTTCCATTTTCTTTTTTTGACTTTAAAATTGTCTTTATTGTAAAATTGTGGGGTACAATTCAGGGTTAGGTATGCAAATATCCATTGTAAAGGTGCTTTGGTGATGAGGTGTGCTCCCCTCCCCCAGGCAGATTTCGACCCCACCTGCATTTTTCTAAAGAACCTTTTAGCCAACATTATTCTCATTTCATCCCAAGCCTGTTCTGAATTATAAACTCTAACCCGTAGTTTGGTTATTTCCATGCCTATCACCCCTACAAAAATTCCTTTTTTGTCTAATCTGAGTTTACTACTAATATCTGTTTCACATTTTTGTCAAGGGAACGTTCTTTTAAAAAATTCCACAACACCTTAAGCATTCCCCTTGGTTCACATTTTCTCTTGACCTAACTTTAGGCAGGTGATCCGGGCCACCTTTAGAAACATGGAGATGAGTGCCCTCCTGACCACCCGTTATCTGGCAGAGGCCGAGGCTGTGTGTGACCGAGTGGCCGTCATGGTGTCGGGAAGGCTGAGGTAGGTGCCCTGCTAAGCCTGCACTTGGCCCCTTAGTCCTGAATGAAGGTCATTTGCCTGCACTGCCAGGAACTTCCGGGTCTACGTGGCCCTTCACCTGGCCCCAGAGACTGAGTTTCACCAGCTATAGATCTCTTTTTTTCCCTTGACCTCATTCTGCTCCTCCTCCCTCCAGATGTATCGGTTCCATCCAACACCTGAAAAGCAAATTTGGCAAAGACTACCTGCTGGAGATGAAGGTGAAGACCCTCGCACATGTGGAGCCCCTCCACGCAGAGGTCCTGAGGCTTTTTCCCCAGGCTGTTCGTCAGGAAAGGTAAACCCGGGTGGCGTTTCCTTTGTCTTGGTTTTCTGCTTCTATTACGGTGATAGAAATAACAACTTTCTCTTCTCATTTTTACTTTGTAACTCTATGGCAGTTGTGGGTGCCTTAATTATTAGAGAAAATTCCACAGGAGGGAAATAAAAGAACAAAAGGCTACTTTGGAAGCTGACTCTTGTGAGGGAATTAGCATTTGTGGGAGCTCTACCATGTGCCAGGTACTAATTCATGCATGCACTTATGTCATCTCAGGGGTGCTTTCTAGGTGGTAAAACCATTCCCCAGTAAAGGCGAGTACCAGGCATCAGTCAAAGCTCGGGGAATGACATCTCAGCATTTTTTGTTATTAACAGGAAGGACACTTGAAGCTCAGAGCAGGCAGACAGGAATTGAATCTAGTGCATATTACTTCAATGTGATTCTCCTCTCACTAAGAAGAAAGATGAATACTACTGCTGCTTCCCTTCTTACTGACAAGTTGTTCTCAATTTCCTCCCCTTTGTCTTCCAGTCCTTTTCTTAGTAAATTGACTTTTCCTTTGTCAAGGAGTATTTACGTTCTGTGTCTCCAACGCCACCCAGACACGCATGCTTAAACAGATTGTTGACAATGTTGCTGCTCCTTTTTAGACAAGCACCCACGAGGGTTTCGACCTTGAAGCCTGGAGCTCAACCTCACTGTCTTTCCTTCACAGGCTCTCCTCCCTGATGGTCTATATGTTGCCTGTTGAGGACGTGCAACCTTTATCACAGGCTTTCTTCAAATTAGAGAGAGGTAGGTAAGAAGGGTTATTTACAGACAAGAGTCTGGAAAACAGCCAAGTGCAAACCTCACATAAAACCTCTCTTTAAAAATACATGAACACAGAATGGTGATATTGCATCACAAACAAACTGTTAAAACTTCTAATCTAGTGTTTCTCAACAAGTGGAGATTTGGCAACTTCTAAAAATATTTTTGGTTCTCACAACTTGGATGGTGGTGTGGGGTGCAGCTGGCATCTAGTGGGTGCAGGCCAGGGGTGGTGCTAAACATTCTGCAATGCCCAGGTAAGCCTCATAAGAAAGAATTACCTGTTCAAAATGTCATCAGTGCCGAGGCGGAGAGACCCTGCTCTAAAGGAACAGGGCTCTGGGGGAAGGAGACCATTTAAGGCTACAGTATCCACACATTAATACAAGTAGAAAAACATAAGTTTGATTTTGTCTCTGTATTATTCAATAGCATTAGATATTGATAAAGGTGTTCCCTCTCTGTTCGGGTGTGCTATTCCATGACTCTTTTTTAGACCTTTGAATTTTGGTCTTTGCATATACCGTGTTGATCTGTCAGGAGCTCAGTTTTTGCCTGTCAAGTTAGAATATTAAACCCGATAAGTGGATGGAACTGCACACCTCTTCTTCAACTGGACTTTCTGGCTTGTTGTTTTCCTTCACTGGGGGCTTGAGCATCCTAGCTTTTAGAGGTTCTTCCTGAGGCAGAGTTAGGATTTCCCAGACAGGTTTGGGGGTTTTTTTTCACTTTCTCACCCTGTTGCTAAATCTCGCTTTATGGTCTACACGGCCATTTTCCACATGGACCACACTGAGCATTTTGGTTCCAGCAGCTCGTTTTGCATCATTCCAGTGGGAAGAATTCCCACAGTGGGATCAACAGGAAGCATTTTAAAATAGATTAGAAATAGAGATATTGATGCTCTAGGAAGGATGCCATCCTAGAATACAATGGAGCCCTTTCTTCCCTCCTTCCTTCCCTCCCTTCCCTCCTTCCTTCCCTCCCTCCCTCCTTCTTTCCTTCCTTCCTTCTTTCTTTCTTTCTTTCTTTCTTTCTTGCCTTTATTCTTTTTTTTGAGTTGAAATCTCACTGTGTTGCCCAGGCTGGAATTCAGTGATAGGCTCACGGCTACTGCAGCCTCGACCTGCTGGGCTTAGGTGTTCCTTCTGCCTCAGCCTCCTGAGTAGTTGGAACTACAGGTGCACACCAGCACACCTGGCTAATTTTTAAAAATTTATTGTAGAGACAAGGTCTCTCCAAGTTGCCCAGGCTGGTCTTGAACACCAAGGCTCAGGCAATCTTGCCTCTGCGTCACAACGTGCTGGGATTACAGACGTGAACTACTGCACCTGGTCTGGAGCCTTTTCTTAAAAGCCTTCTAATGTCTCTGCTTTCAAAAATGTTCTCTCCCACTTCAAATTCCTTTTGCAGTGCTTAATTTGCCAACACTGAGGTTCTCATTTGGGGGAACAAACAACTTTTTATCACAGTTTCCAGCCCCACTTTGTGACGATAACACACAGTACAAAATGCGGTTGTGTAAGCTATCATTTTTTTCCTGCAAATGATGTTGGGACACTTACATTCTCCACTGCTATGCATATATCGAATGAACTAGGCCTGGTGTCGTGCGAGCAAAATGCACCCCCCATGACAATTCCTTTGCTTTGCTACAAAGAGTCATCCTTCTATGTCACCAGTCACTTTTGGGTCATGCACACTCCAGCCAGACTCTAGTGTCACATGGCCCTTCCAGGTCAAGCTTGCCTCAAATTTACAACTCCAATAGGATGGTCAGTTTTATCTCTTTTCTTAGTCTATTCCTTCCTTGATGCGTAAGTTAATGTTTTGGACCTCTCCAGGGTGGGGTGTAAGGGGAAGGGAGAAAGAATAGTATGGCGGCAAAGCTTGATTAATCAGTAGAGCATTAATAGGGTACCAGGGCTCCTAGGTAGAAATGAAGAATCCCTGATTCTTTCATGAGTTGCTGCCATGGGTTCCTTGAAGACTTCTTCTCCCTTCCCCATCCCTAGGGTGGATGAGGCCCCCTCCTCTTGGCCTCTTGTGACCACCTTGCAGTCTCTGTGCTTCTTCCTTGAAGTCCCTTTACCCTCCCAGGTGATCCTCTCAAAGTACCTCCCCTTTGAAGTTCGTGAGAAACACACAAGCATCTTTGCTTCCCCACCCTCTACAAGTACTCGGCAAGTACATGTTTCCAGACGTGAGACAGGGACCACTCCCTGGAGAAACGATAGGAAATGCCATGGCAGTCTCATCGTGTCCAAAAGAAATCTTTGCTTTCCAGTCTCATCTTTCCAATCATTAATGTCTTCGTTTTAGGTATCTGCATGTTTGAGATCTCAGTCATAGTCCAAATTGGTATCAGATGGTAAACTCAGTAATTCGAGGAAATTGTGTCAGTCGAGGGACTGTTTGCCAAAGTACAAGAAACAGGGCAATTACCTGAGGCTGGAAATAGCAAGACTGTTACCATTCTTAGGTCCAAGAGGACTAAGAGAAGCAGCAGAGACCTGAACCTAAGAGTAGCGTCCTGTAGAATATGCCACCCAGAGAGAAGGGGTAGCCTTCAATCAAGGCGCAAACTTGGTGTCAGGGAGGGGATGAAAGAATAAAGGCCTTGACCTCCCCTCTCCTCTGCCCCTCCTGTTGGATACTCCATCAGGGGAACCCACCAGAAGACATCATCTGTATGTCAGCCCCTGAAGTAGAGAGGGGGGCAGAGAAGAATAAGGACAGATACAGAGGGGCACATGATAATATTCCAGCACAGAGGGTGGCATCACTTAGCTTATCTTGCATAGGTGTTCTGGAACCTCTTGTATTGCTTTCCAATCTTGTGCTGCCTTTGCCAAAACTCTTAGAAAATGAGACAGTATTTTCATCCTGTTACATGACTATATGGTGCATTTGCTTTGGACTTTATTTAGTCCAAGAATATTTATTACCTTATATTTTATATTTAAGTTATATTTGCATGTATTTTTGTAGGCAACTTGGTAAAAAGCCTTGAATTTAAAAAAAGTGAGTCCCTAATGCATATCCATCCTTATGCAGTTAAACAGAGCTTCGATCTGGAGGAGTACAGTCTCTCACAGTCCACCCTGGAGCAGGTGGGTCCTCTTAGTGATTCTCTATCACCCACAGGACATCAGCGTTTAATATGTGCATGCTTTTTGCCCTCCCTTGAAGGTATAGGAGATAGCATGACATCCCTCTTTCTTCATGTTTACTTTCCATTGTAGGTTTTCCTGGAGCTCTCCAAGGAACAGGAGCTGGGTGATTTTGATGAGGACCCCGGTGCCTCGGTGAAGTGGGAACTCTTCTCCCAGGAAGAGCTTTAAGGCCCCAAATACCCCGCTTCTCTTTAAGCTCGTGAATCTTTTTAAGATAGTATTTTATAGCACCGATATACCTTATCTCAGACTTTGGAAATACATGTTATATTTTTCCTCAATACTGTGTCTTATAGTAGAACTGGGGTGACGTCAGGAGGGCAGTGGTAGGACATGAGGTAGGGCCAGATCACACAGCCACCATACTAGCAACTAAAGCCCATGTTTCCCCCTGTGTTAAACTTAAAAATACAGTTATTATAAAATTGTCTACATGTCAGAGAATTATGCAGAAATTGCTTAATTTTCTTTTTCTGAGCTTCAGAATATTGGTTATTTTCTTATATTTTGGATTAAAGTATAAATTAAGACATCCTATTGATGTCAGCAAAAGAAGAGTCTATTGATTTTCCTTTTCGGTCATTTTTCAGACTTTAGATTGGAAAATCCATGTTTTGTCTGTTGTGACTATAAAGGAAATTTGAAATCTGTCAAAATAAACAATTGCAGTAAGAATTTAAATGTTGAAGTTGATGAACACAATTAAAACTCATATATTACTTACTGGTTTGAAACATAGTTTTTATTTTTATTTTTTTTAAGTGATGCAAGGGTCTACTCTTAGGTGAGCCATTAAAATTTCATAGTTCTTAATTTGCTGTATCCAGTTGGTGACCTTACAAACACCTTAAAATCAGCATAATAGACTTGTACACTCTTATGTAGGTGAATTTTTGTTGTTGTTACTGCTCTTATTATTGCTAGCTAATCAAACAGTCAAAGGAAATTATGTAACAGAACTTTATTTTCATTCTTGTTATTTCTTGTACCCTGCTAGTTTATGAAAATAAAACACTGCTATCAACCTATGAGAGTAGCCATTAGACTTTGGTCAATGAACTCCAGATTCCTTATTTTAGAAAAGGAGACATTAATACTGGCCCTGCTAAGTCACTTAACTTTTATGAGTCACAAATGACTTGATACAAGTCAACATGTTGAAAACTATATATTCATAGTAGAGAAAGTATTCCTTATAATGACCCCAATTGCCAAAGACTGTGCCATTATCATTGTATATAAAGCTTGCCCCTTAAATAAGACTTGATTTCTAAGATTTGACTCAACTGCATTAATGACACTCTATTAGACTCAGGAATTTCGTGAAGCATTTTTCAATAAAAGAGTGGTTGATGTACCATATTCTGGGAGCTGAACAAGAGATACTTACATCGTTTTAGCATTCTGAGAGTATGTTCCCAAAACTAGAAAATGAGGAAAAGTATTGCTAATAATCTCAGTGAGAGTCAGTAAAGTTAAAGATTTATATCCGACAGTCCTATAAAAGAAACCGAAGCAGTAAACTTGAGTCACACGGAATTTTAGACCTACAATAATTTTAGAAGCTTGGTATGATAATGGCAATATTCTTGGTATTTATAAGAGGACTAAGAGTACACATTATCAGTTAAGTTCTGTACATACATTGATTATTTTATGCAACCCTCTTAATAACATTACAAATAAATATTCTTATTTATATTTGGCATTGTGGGAAGAAGACTTTCTAAAATGGTTCAGGAAAATGCCCTTCCCTAATCTCTGGATCCCATGGATATGATTGATGCACTGTTACTCCATTGTCTCTGTTTATGTTGCATGACACACTTGACATTAAGATAGAAAGCTTAAATACGTGGGCCTGTTCTAATCACGTGGCACCTTAAATGTAAAGAGCTTTCTCTCTTCAGTGGCAGAAAAAGAAGTCACAGTTATTTGAAACCCCAAGAGGACCTGATACTTTGTGTCTGTCTTTGAAGATACAGGGGCCACGGGAGAAAGAAGGGGGGCGCCCTCTACTGTAGCAGCTGAGAGGCCACACAAAAGGGAAAGCAGCTGCCACAGAACATTTTGTGTATCAAAATACAGAGATTGCTGAGATCTGAGGGTTTGTTACAACAGCTAGTATTACCCTGACTAACACAGTAGTTCATGCCCAGAAAACTACGAAAGAAAAAACCTGGAATATTTCTCATGCAGGGCATTGACGCAACCGCCAAAGACCTTTGAACGGTTCCATGCTGCCTGTCTCCAATCCTGCCTGGCGCAGAGCCCTGCCAGCACGATCTGTCTTCCCAGATCACCCCAGGGAAGACTCTCTGGCTAGTTGATGCTTCCTTCATTCTTGGTGTATTTGCATCACACCATCCTCAAAGTGTCTAGCCAAGCAATAGTCACTTGCCTGTGCTAATATAAATGCTTTTTCTTGTTTTGACTCACTGAGTGATAGCTATGGCTAGTTCAAAGCAAAAAGGTTAAAATCTTAAGTTATCACTGTCTTGAAAGGGATCTTTTATTGTAAGTTGGTGGAAATATTTTAATGTCTTCTTAAAATCCCTCCTTGGGGACAACCCAACCCAGGACTCTATGCCTTTGGGTGAGTCCACTCTTTCTCCTATTAAAAAAAAAAACAGGAAGGAATCTCCTCACTTAGATATATAAAGTTATATTGTATGAATGTTTGGAGTATTTGAAGTAGAAGGTAAGACTATTTTGAAGATTTAGTCAATGAAAGCATTACAATAATTATGAATACATAATTTTAATGATACTAAACTTATTTATTTTTATATGAGATGTGAATTTCTCAGCAGAGACACATTTCACATTTTGTGCTAGAAAATCCTTTGCTGGGGAGGTTGACCGGTATATTTAGCGGCGTCTTAGCCTGTATCCACTAGATGCCAGTAGCACTCTCCACCCATGTCTGACAGCGCAGAATATCTCCAGGTCTCCCACGATCTCCCGCAATGCACCAGACTTATGTGCTCTTTAAATCAACACATAATTTTGTTATCTTGGGGCAAAGTGAAAGATGAGGACTACATGACAGTCGGTCTCATCTCCCTCTTTAGGAGTTTCAGTTATACTCAGCACATTGGGCCAACCAACAAAAATGTCTCTTTTAAAAGAAACCTAGTAGATTAGCAATGAAAATGTTTAGTGATCAGTAAAATATATGTGTGAATGTTTGGATCATAATTATTTAAAGTTCATGCCTTTTAAAACCTTTTTCAGGAGTGCACAGACTTTAGTCTGTAAATTATTTCTATGAAGGAAAAAGAAGACCTCAACAGATTGTAGTATATGTTGAATCAGCGAAAACTCTGACAAAACAAGTGTGGCCAAGACTACTGGAAACAAAATGAAGTTTCTGTTTCCTGGGGTGGCCCTCCATTCCTTGGGGTGTCTTGGTGGGAAAGATTAATGCTGAGGCATACATATCAGCTTGCAGGGGAAAAAAAGCCTTAACTTACCCTGATTCCTCACCTGATACCTGGAAATGCATTTTAATCAGCAATACAGAATCATCTTCAGATTCTGGGCAGAAAAGGATCTCAGATTCATCCCACTGTCATTTGCTAATTTCACAAATGTAGAACCTGACAGATTCTGTTACTTGTTCATAGAGAATAGAGATAACTTTATCTCAGGTCACAGTTAATTTTTTTAGACTTATTTTTGGAAACTGAATTTTAGGATGCAAATGAATTTTTAATATTTCTAGTTACATATGATGAAATACAAGATTGTAATAACAGGCTGGATAATGAATGGCTTATACATCTCTCCTCGCTAATAGACATATAGTAAATTGTAGCTTGCTTGGTCAAGAGAAAAGTCTCTTTTAGGGTTGACTTAGTTTGAGTTTGTACTCTTCTCTGTGGAGTTTCATGCTGTTCGAGAACCACATTGCCCAGTCCTTCATTTAGTATACTTAATGCTGAGCAGATTTTAAAGGTGAAGCCCACTGACTGAGGGTTCTGAGTTCAGGAAGCAATAAGCTGAAAATGGGGGAAAGGACCATCATCTTAAAAAAAAAAAGAGAGAGAAAATTTAAGCAAAATGTTTCTGTCAGATAATGCAGATTTTATACTGCCCTTTTTATCATTTAGTTTCAGCTAAACTCGTGTTATTCTGTCACTTTGAGTAGCTCAACTTGCTCAATATTTGGTTATTTTCTATTTTCAAACTCTGTTCTATTAATTCTCTACGTCATTCATTTTAGATTATTATAAGAGAACTTTTAGTGTGAAGGCCAATCCATACTTTGACCTACCTTCCAACTCTAACCATCTTTGACCCCTTTCTTTATCACTTAAATGATACTTGCTGGTCATATTTTACCTTGATCTTGCAGCCATGGCCTTCCACCAGACCAATTCTAAACTCCCAAACTCCTGAGTCCTGCAGTTTCCATTCCTCTTTCAATGTGGCTAAGCACTGCTGAAGAAAATCACTGATCATGCTTCTCAAATGCAATAAAATGGTGTGTATGTGTATTTATTTTGCACCTATCAATATGCTGTAGAATCAATAAATATCCTTGGGGATTTGAGACATGTATAAAAATTGAACAGATTAATGCTGTTTTTGTTTGGAAAAAAAGACTACTTTCTTAAAAAAATTTCCCACATGTACATTTATCTCAACCAGGACTTTGATTAAATTTTGCTGCTATTATTCAAATTTAAAATATTTTCAATGCCCTTGAGAGCAGACATTCTTTTTTTTTTTTTTTTTTTTTTTGAGTTGCAGTCTCACTCTGTTACCCAGGCTGAAGTGCAGTGGCACCCTCACAGCCACTGCAGCCTCTATTTGCTGGGTTCCGGCGATCCTTCCACCTCAGCCTTCCAAGTGACTGGAACTACAGGCGTGTGATTTATTGTAGAGACGAGGTCTCACCAAGTTTCCCAGGCTGGTCTCGAACTCCCGGGCTCAGGCAATCATCTCACCTCAGCCTCCCAAAGTGCTGGGCTTCCAGGCTGAGCACCTGGCCAAGAGTAGAGATTCTATATTGCTGATCAGAAAATTGATTTTCTTAAAGCTGAACTGAACATGTATTAGGTTTATAAACACTAAGTAATAAAACAAAAAAAAAATTGTGACTTCAAAATATGCTCCATTTCTACCCAGAAGAAGGCCTAGACCACAGTAGAACTTTAGGCATATTCCTAGAGTTTTGTGTGTTCCAGGCCAAACTATTTCCTACTGCTACAATGTCACCACCTCCAATACTACAAGCTTCCGAAGAAAGAATCTTCTTGAAGACAAAATTAAAACATTACACACTTCCCACTAAAAAACCAAACTCTTCAGAATTAACCACATCACAGTCCTGTTTACCAAAATCATCAAAAGTCCAAGATTCCCAAATTATCAATCATTGCTAAAATGATCATCTACTTCTCGCTTTCTTTCTCTCTTTTTTTTTGAGAAAGCAGAATTTATTGAAAGAACAGAAAAGTTCCCACAGTAGGAGGAGACCCAAAGGGGTTGACCCCATCCACTTCTTTCAACCCATCTCATGGACTCTTCTACACTGGAACTTATAACCAGAGAAAGTTGAGCCTGGGGTAACAAT